CATTCTAAAGCTGAAGATCTCCTCTACATTTTGGAATAAAAAAGTTTTTGAATTCATTCAACTTTTTGGGAAATTGACTGCACAAAGGGAGACGTCGTTTTCGAAAAAACCCATTCCAGCCGCTATTCCTCGAGTTTTATGGTGTAAAACAACCGCCCAGAAAAGAAAAGAAAAGTAAAGATGCTCTGAAATTGTTATATTTTAAAAAAGTTGTATTGATATATCTATTGGCCAAACATCAAACGGTTAACTCAATTTGAGCGGAGCCAAAACTCGATCCAAAGGCACCCTTCCATTTTTTGGCCACCTCTTCTTCTGTGCCGTCAATTTGCCCAAAAGCTGAACAAATTCAAAAACTTTTTATATCAAAATGTAGAGGAGATCTTCAGCTTTCGAATAATACTCATATATATCTTTTTCTTCATTTCGGTATCTTGAGAAATTTACAAAATAGTAAAAAACGCGCATTCATAACTGGACAACCTAATATTGGGTTGGGGAGAATGAGTCGGCGCCGAAATTTAAAGGGACTTTTTGCACCCATAAAACCTTCTTTAAATACACGTTTTGTTTCATCAAAATGGTCCACTATTTCTTTACAAAATGGCTTTTGAGAGATTCCACAAAGCTTTTCTTTTTTGGGATTTTATGGATTCCCAAACACAGCTAATCAAAATGACAAAAAGTCCGACTCATTGCTTGAACAGTTTCTTCCACATAAACCTCCTTTGGTGTTTATATAAAAAAGATAGAGCACACTCAATTACATAAGTTACCAAATTTTCAGGAAGATCCCTCCAACCGTTTACTCTAGATGACAGTTTATCGATTTTGTGAAAAAATGATCCTTTGTTGAGTTGAGGCGCTGTTTGAGTTCTCTTTTAAATATTATTTTGTAGAGAATTAGTTACCCTTCTACGGATATCAAACGCATATCATTTGACAAAGTCTGCTATAAGTTTTAGAAATTTCTTTGATTTTCGGCGCCGACTCATTCTCCCCAACCCAATACATGAAAATTTTCCGCTTTAAAAGAGTTGTTTGTAATTACGCGTTAGCTGGGGGTGGGGTATTATTTTTTCCCTTCCTCTCTAGGGTGGGGTACTATTAGAGGGGTCGGGTCCAATTACAGTATTTACGGTAAAAATCCTATAGAAAACGATTTTTTGCCTTATTTTGCGCGGATGTGCCTTGTCTCTTTAAATAATCGAGCGCATCGAACAGATCAACGCCCCAGCATGCTGCAGCATATCAATTTGTAGTCCGGGTAGAAAATCTCGGCATTGTGTATAACTAAAGAATGTTTTAAAGAATTTTTTAAAGTAAGTAAAGCGCTTAAAGTAAAATTAAACTTGTGATTCGTGGAATATTAACGATTAGCCTCAATTCGTATTCTAAAAGCGACCAGTTGCATTCAAAAAATGGCTCTTGTTCGTTATCGGATCATCCTCAAGTCAAGACGTACTGTTACCTCAGTATAGCTGCTGTTTTCTGAACTTCTCTGAACCCGGGATAACGGACAAGAACCCAAAATTTTGCTTCTTCACAACAGCACACCTCATTTCGCCAAAAGGCGTTCGAAATTTAACTTTCCAGCAGTGCCCAAATCCACCATAACCTTTAGTTTTTATCTACCAATCACTGGCTTCTGGACGGGCGAAACGTTTGTTCCATTGCTGAAATCGATTTTTGTTTAAAAGCTTTCAAACATTTCAGATATGACTAAAATTTAACGCTAAATTTTGGGCCGACTCATCGCAATTGGTTCTCTTGCCTTGAACTCACTGATATGCAATCGATCTTTCTCCAGAGTCAGTTCTCATTTGTACTGTTAGAAGGTTGGAGAAGAAAGTTACAGAAGTTTCTTAAATCAATAAATTTGAGTCAATAATTGGGCGGTTCTGAATCCAATTAGTCTTATTGGATTCAGAACCAGTAAACGTGGGTTTTCCTACCAGCGTTGGCTGCAAGATGCCCTTTTTCAAAGTGTCTCGATGAGCAGTTCAGATTCAGAAGCGGAGATGAGCCAGAATGATTTGCAGACATTGCTGAGCTTTCAGCTTTTCTATTGTATCAACCAGTCAATATGCAAAGTAGCTAAAAACATTTTTATTTGGGTTTCACCTATTTCTGGCTTTGAATAGTCGAAGTCAAACTAAGGTTTACTTAGCACGCTACCTAATCATGATATTTCTGTCGCATAGTTTTGTACAGGGTGCGCCATAATTGCTACAACATACCACAAAGGCTGTAATGGAATGGCATGTCATTTTATTTTCCAATCCCTCAAAATCAGTCGATCCAAAAAGTAGATAAGGGGGGCCACATGAATCAAAAATTTAGAATTCGTTAAAAACTGTATTTTAAACGATGGTCCTGTATCCAAAACGTACAAAAAAACATGCTTAAAAGTAAAATTATTTTCTTATCCGCGATCTCCTTTGAATCTCCAAAAAAAATCCAGATGGGAGCCTCTTATAATTTCTTTTTCAAAAATAGCGTTTTAAATTTTACTGCCAATCAAATATTATTAGGTTTTAGACCTAGATTTATTCAAAGAACCTCCACAAGGGAGGTCTAAAGTCAAGTTTTCGACGGATCACGGGAGTGTCATTCTATTCGAGGGTATCATTGTCATGTCATAGCATTTACGTTATTTGTTTCCCAGGACGTGAAAGTCAATTCCGATAACTACCTGGCTCTTTTCAAGGATGAACTCTTACCCTGGGCTCGTGAACATTTTGGAAATCGCATTTGGACTTATCAGCAAGATGGTGCACCGGTCCACAAATCCAAGAAAGTCCAAGAGTTCTGCCAAAACAACTTCCCGGTTCATTTCTTCTTCTGAGTGGCTATCTAGCTCTCCAGACCTCAACGCAGTGGATTTTTCAGTGTGCTCGGTTCTAGAAGCCAAAGCTTGTTCAAAGCTCCACAAAAGCATCGAAAGCTTGAAGAAATCACTGTTGAAAGCGTGGGAAGAGCTCGATCCAGCCTATTTGGTCGCCGAAACGCCTGCGAGCTTGCTCAAATGCTAATGCTGGCCAATTCGAATTTGATAATTCATTTATAATTGTTAATGTACAATAAATGTCATTCATTCAAAAATTTGTCTTTTTTTGCTCTTGTCTGCATTAAAATCAGAACTTTATCTTGTTGCGACAATTATGGCGTACCCTGTATAATCAAAACTTGATTCTACTCTATCCGCTGGGATTTGAAGAACGTGAGAAAAGAGTTTATTTGATTCCTGGTTTAAAAGTTATAAAGTATTGACATTGTTGAAGATTAAGATTTTGTTCTCCCTTTGTCGGCTTATGTAGATGTCCGATATACTCCAAAGAAAACATTTCTCTTAATTGCCGGACTTGTTACGTTCGTTTTGTCGTTAATCTTTTTAAAAAAGCAAAATAATATAGCAAATGTATTAAATGTTAAGATATTAGGTTGATGCATAAGTCTTTTCGTTTTTTTCGTACTTCTGTTAAAAAGTAACAAATGCACCAATTAAACTACGGTTGATTTCATTAGAAAAACCAATTATTTTTCTGCAAAATAACATTAAAACGGGTTTTAAAATATTTTATGCCTGGATTTTCTTGAGAGTATGAAGTCGGGTAGTCAAAAAGGGCTAACTCGATGATGCGGTTTAGACACCTTAGCTAAAGAAAACCTATCTTCGTGTCAATAGATAAAAGATAGAGAAAAAAAAAGTTTGATATTTCGCCAAAATTTCAGAGAAATTCATTCAGCCAATTTTTCCGTAGAGTTTTTTATAGATTTTTACGAAAAAGGCGTTTTTCACTCTCGAATTTGCTTGAAAGTGAACCGAAATTCATTTAAAAAGATGCAAATTGAACAAAAAAACACTTTTTTTATAGAGCAAACTATAGATTAATTGGTGAATTTGTTACTTTTTAACAGAAGTACGAAAAAAATGAAAAAGACTTTTGCATCAACCTAATATTTTAAGGCTCAATGCTATTTCTTGCAATATATTTGTGCATTTATATCTAGGATAGTAAAAATGTGACAGGATAGTAGAAAAAGATCGATTTTTGTTTAAAAGCTTTCAAACACTTCAGATATGGCTAAAATTTTACGCTAAATTTTGGGCCGACTCATCGCAATTGGTTCTCTTACCTTGAACTCACTGATAAGCAATCGATCTTCTTCCAGAGTTAGTTCTTATTTGTACTGTTAGAAGGTCTGGTATCCGAAATCCTGGATATCCGGTTATTTTGATCGGATATTGTATCCGGTATTCGGAAATTGGTTGACCGGATAGTACGGATAAATTCCAGGTAGTTAATTATCCGAAAATAAACCCGGATTGCCCGGATTCGGATAATCCGGATAGCTCGAATTCGGATAATCCGGATAGCTCGAATTCGGATAATCCGGATAGCTCGAATTCGGATAATCCGGATAGCTCGAATTCGGATAATCCGGATCCCTATGTCCTCACAGCAATTTGACCTCAAAAATAGTGGTTCTGATAGGTCTGAAAAGCTGGTCCTAGTGTTACCTAGTTAAGAACAGTTTAGAACTTGTCGAAGCTCATTGTTCAAAGAATGACATCAGGGGATCAATTGATGGATCTTGTTACTTTGGAATTAACGTCAATGAGACACTCAGTGACGCTGATAACTTCTCCTTCAACATTTTGATTGACTTAAATTGAGTGAACAAGAGAAACTCGACGGAACTACACGAAAGGGGCCTTGTCGTGCAACGAAATTCATTTCCTTATGCAATAAAACCTGATGCAATAAAAATCTGATGCAATAAAAACCTGATGCAATAAAGAAATCACTTAAAGTCATCACCAAATTTGTTTCGTATCATTTTGTCGGAAATGCCTGAGAAAAGTAAGTTAAATTTGTCAACTTCTCCACTAAAATTTAGTTGACGACTATTTTCTGATTGGATTTTTGCTGATATTTCCGGGTGTTTTCTCGATATTTCTATCTTCGTACTCATGGAGTATTTACTTGATAGCAATGGTGCTTTTCTTGCTATTTTCACTTTCCTATACCGGAAAGTATGAGAAAACTTTGATGGGAAGTTTTGAGGGATGGTTGGGTGAGTGGTAGATCGGATTCACGTATTGATTAAGATACTTTTTGATTGAAGAAACAAATTAGATTAAGGTCCAGGTCAGCTCAGACCAGGGCTCTTGAAGCGGCTTCTAGCTTGTCCTGGCACTAGTCCAACTTTACTGTTAGCTCACAAAAAGTACTTGGATCAGGCCTAAAAGCTGTGGACTATCGACCGGACCGGACCGATGCATGTCTAGTCAGAAATTTTGCAGCCTATTCATTCATCAAAACAAAGTCTAATCTAGCTAATCTTCAGTCTGCGCCTTGGCTCCATTCTACTGGACGGTGAGGCCAATTCTCGGTGTCCCGTCAGCAATTTCTCTCACCGTTCTCTTTCTGATCGCTTTCCGCAAAGAGTTCACGCAATCTGTGCACGATTTGATGTTCAAACAAAGAAATGCTCAATCGAAAGTTGAAAGTGGAAATATGCCTATTGAACCTATGCAAGAACAAAATGCTGAAAATGATGGTTTGCTTGTTTCGTTCTCTAAAGATCATTGAAAAGTCCCAACTAAAAGAAACTAAAAGATCACTAAAAGTATAGTTAACCCATTAGATACGTAAACAGCAAACAAAGCTAAATACAACGAATCAAATCTTAACAACATTTCACAATTTGAGTACCGCGCAAAACTTAAATGAAATGGATTAAGCCAACTCTAGCTATCTCTAAAGTTCTTCTATCGGCAGTTACCATTTAAAGTTTGAATCAAACTTTGTGAAGATTACGCAAGACTGATTTTCTATTGACATTCTAAAAATCGCGCTATGAAAACGCCACCGTACTGTTATACCTACCGTAAATACTGTAATAGTACCCCGGCCCCATAATGACGGTGCGGAGTGTTGCGTAGTCTAGCTTTAGACGAGTTTTTCTTGACACTGGTTTATGCTACAATGCGCGCTGAGGTATCAAACGAAAGCTGAGATTCAGGGCTATTTTTTGAAACCAAAGACGCACTTTTTGAAATTACGGGCGCCTTGAAAAAAATACAATACTAAAAAACGTTTGCGACTACGCGACTGTACGAGGGGGGTGGGATACTATTACAGTATTTACGATAGATTAAGGTAGTTACAAAGCTGGACTACGGTAGGGAAGTTAACAGATCGGATATGATTGAGTAAACAAAGCTGAACACAAACGGATCAAATCATAACAACATTTCCCAATTTAGTACCCCAAAGCGGTGGCCTGATGGCCTTTTTGGCGTTGGTGTTCTCCTTTGGTTTAATCGTTTTGCCCTTCATTGCCAATCAAGACGCACTAATCTATATTTATGCCATCGTGATTGTATATTTTGCTGCAATCTATCAAGTTTTCAAAACCCTGGTCGCTCCGTATTTCCTTTCAATCATTCCCATCGCACTGCTCAACTTCGGCATTTGGAAGTTCACCGAAAGTTTTCCACTTTTGCTTTTTCTACAGCATACCACGGTTCATTTGATTTTTTATCTAACATTAGATGATGGACACTGGGAAGTTCGAGGTAAATTTCATGATCTAACATAATTTAATAAATCAAAATATTGTCATATTTCAGAAAACCATTCCGGATTCATCTTGAAATCGTTGAGGATGATCTCGTTTTGGATTGCTTATTTCTGGGTGAATTGGAGCGTTCGGCCGATCCAACTCATCAAGAAGATTCTGTTATCAAGTAAGTTTGTCGGACTAACGAGTGAAGGATGATTGGGTCCCCTGGCCTTTTCCTATGATACCATTCGATGCAGAATTTTACGCTGATTCCAATGATGGAAAAATTAGCTGCCGAATGACGCGTAATCACCGCCAAACTGGCATAGAAGTTTTGAGCCTCTACTTTTAAGCCGATTTTTTTAACACAAACCATCCATCAATGGCCTAGAGGTTAAGTGCTTGTACAGCAAGCTGGAGATCGAGAGTTCGAACCCGACCTTTTTAACATTTTACGTTCTTTGTGGGTCAGCGTACACACTAGGCATCTGGTAAAGCAGCTTAGCACATAACCCGAAAGAGCCTACTTTCCATTGTCGTTGGCTCTTCGACAGTTTCCCTGGAGTTTCGAGTTTGGATAATTTTGTATTGTTGAGTGATAAATTTACGTTTGAAGGTTATAATGTATTTGATTTGAATATTAAAATAAAGTCAATTTTGTGCTAATATTCCATATAGAACAAATCACAATTATTAGTTGAAAAAGCAAAAAAAATGAAACGGGTCGGGTTTGAACTCTCGATCTCAAGCTTGCTGTGCAAGCACTTAACCGCTAGACCATTGATCAATGGTTTGTTTTGCAAAAAAAGACCGTTTAAAAGTAGAGGCTCAAAACTTTTATGCCCGTTTGGCGATGATTACGCGCCATTCAGCAGTTTCAGCTAATTTTTCCATCATTGGAATTAGCGTAAAATTCTGCGTCGAATGGCCTTATATATCGTCGGAAAAGGCCACGGGACCCAATCATCCTTCACTCGTTAGTCCAACAAATGAAACGGGTCGGGTTTGAACTCTCGATCTCCAGCTTGCTGTACAAGCACTTAACCGCTAGACCATCGATCAATGGTTTGTTTTGGAAAAAAAAGACCGTTTAAAAGTAGAAGCTCAAAACTTTTATGCCCGTTTGGCGATGATTACGCGCCATTCGGCAGTTTCAGCTAATTTTTCCATCATTGGAATCAGCGTAAAATTCTGCGTCGAATGGCCTTATATATCATCGGAAAAGGCCAAGGGATCCAATTATCTTTTTCCTGTGTAGCGATTCAATAACCGTATTGCCTTTTGATGCAAATGTTCTGGCAACATTCTTGCTAATATTTTCCCTGTGTAACAGCAAAAATAAGCAAAAAGTCAAAGAGTGCGGCGGGCAAAGTCTAAAAAGTCCTGAAATCAACCTGTGCAAACCCTAGCTCTAGCCCTAGCCTAATCTTCGTTACTGATTTAACCAAGACTGATTTTGAGTCCGTATATTTATCTACAGGAGCACGGACTCGGAAATTTTAGCGGCTTACGTCTTCTTTTGGTTAGGTTCAAGAAATCGGGGACATTTTACAAGCAAGTCTTGTTCCCTCATGGGCTTGAAATTGCTCTTGATCCAAAATCAATCATATGTCTACTTCAAATAACTGACTTCAGTTGTTCGCGGCGGTTTCCCCCGGTTGATCGGCAAGATTATCCTGGTCTCATGGCAATCAATCAAACGAATCAATTTGGATTTTCTCTTTGTGACCCTAGCAGCAATCGGTGTTCTCTATTGGACACAATTCGGGTTCAGTTTCGAATACGAGAAAGTTGTGCCGAGTATTGGAATGCCTAGAATCGCTTTCCCTGATTATTCCTCGTTGCCCAGACTCTCTCCACCAAGAATATTCAATGACATCCAGCTATGTATTCAAAGAATTCTACCAATCTTGACTCCAGTTGTGATTTTGCAAATTTTGATTTGCCTTTTTGAGATTGGGAAAAATTTGAAGGTGCAATATCAGACAATGGGAGATTCATTCAAACAAAGTGAGTTAGTAGAAAAAGCTCCCCGAAAAGTTAACGAAAGAATAGAACGATTTAAAGCTTACCGTAAATACTGTAATAGTACCCCACCTTCATAATGACGGTGCGGCGTAGAGTGTGTTCCTTGCAGACAACGCGTTTTCTAAAAAGCGTGGGCCAAGGATAAGCTACCGTAACCCTATGCTTTGCATCAGCAAATTTTTCAAAATGCAAATGTACATTGAAATCTTGCGCTCTTTTTTTCTATTACTCTTTCGCTAAAAATTAAAATTTTTAAAATGCTATGTAAAATTAAAGAAAACATTTAAAACGGAAAAAGTTAAGAAACACTATTAAAAAATTATATTATTTACGAATTTACCAGGCCTATTGTCTACATTTGCACTAGAACCATTCCAAAAAAAAATTCCACGCCCCAAAAAACCTAAATCCTGAAATAAAACGATCCATTACTACATTTTAAAAAAAGTTTGCAAATTTTTTTCGCGCGACCTTTATAGTTTTGCTTAAAAAGCGCACCTTTTAGAAAGCGCGTTGTCGGAAGTTTGTCGGATCAACTGTCTAACAAAAAAGTTGTCAATGAAAATTTGTCTGACAAATTGTCTGTCAACAAGGAGCACACTCTAGTGCGAAGTGTTGCGTAGTCTAGCTTTGAACGAGTTTTCCTCGAGACTGGTTTATGCTACAATGCGCGCTTAAGTATCAAACGAAAGCTGAGATTCTGGGCTATTTTTTCATATCAAAGACGCATTTTTTGAAAGTACGGGCGCTTAGAAAAAAAACGAAACTTTTGGGACTACGCGACTGTATGAGGGGGTGGGGTACTATTACAGTATTTACGGTATACAACTTTAGGTCTAAAATCCCGAAACGAATTCCTGCTGCTGATGCCGTTTGTCGCTGTCGGTGCTTTTGGGAATTTTGCCAATTTGCCGCAAATAGGTGGATTTTCTCTCTTTTTTGCCTTGACAACTTGTGTCTTGTTGGCCGAGAGGAAACCGTACAAATGGTTGCTGATTTTGATCGGGTTCACCATTTATGTGCAACTGATCTTCGCGAATCTTTATAAGATCGAGGTTTATCCGTTTTTCTTTAAAACTAGTCTTTAACTTGACTTTAATATGTAACTGATTTTTCAAAGTGCTTGTCACATTATTTTAAAAATGATTCCAGCAAGGTTTGTCTCTGATTGTGTGGATCAGTGGCCTCGTAGGGATGTCGATGTCGCTTCGTTACGCAATCGTAAATGCGCCCGAACCTCGAACAGCAGCAGGAAATTGATAACAGAAATTTCAGTTTTTTGTCTACGAAAATACAGAATATTCTAGCTTTTTTTTACAGAATAACGAGTTTCTAAGTTCTTTAATCATACTTGTACAGTATAAAATTGCAAGGTAATAAAATCTTTAGCAAAATTCGAGAATACAACCTTTAGATTTTAAAAGTAGAAAAGTGAAAATAACTAGAAAAGTTTTAGCTTTTAAAGTCCTTTTATTTTTGTCTCGTTTACTCAAAATCTGGTTATTACATTTTCGAAAACTTTTTACGGCAAAACTCTTCATCGGAGAGCTTGGAATTGTGCTGTTTTTTCATCACGAGACGGATCGTTTGAAAGCAAGATTCTTTCTGAAATGAGTCGCATTCTGTATGTAAAATAAAGTCTACGCGTTCTGAATTCTTAATTCAGAACATTCTGTATGTAAAATAAAGACGATTTACGCGGATACATAGTCAACGAGACAATGCCCAATCAGCTGTTGACGATTCATGGTTCTGTTTGATTTTGCCACCGGGTCGTCAGTCGAATCAAGCTAGTGTCTATACCAGCGACGAATGCGCTAAATGTGACTATTTGGTGAATGACACAGAAAGTAAGAGTCAGATAAGTCTAAAACTTTATAGTTTTAGAACTAAACTCTAGGCCAATCAAGCCAAACTTATTGAATTTATGCTTTTTCGTGATATCAACGACTTGTTAAGGTTATGATTGGGATCTGACTGGAGCTAGCGACTAAAGCTAGCGACTAAAGCTAGCGACTAAAGCTAGCGACTAAAGCTAGCGACTAAAGCTAGCGACTAAAGCTAGCGACTAAAGCTAGCGACTAAAGCTAGCGACTAAAGCTAGCGACTAAAGCTAGCGACTAAAGCTGGCGACTAAAGCTGGCGACTAAAGCTGGCGACTAAAGCTGGCGACTAAAGCTGGCGACTAAAGCTGGTCTTTTGACTCAAGGCCAAGTCTATCTTAAAGAGTCAGCCATTGGGATCTTTGCAGTTTTTTAGTTTAGTTTTTGTTTTTGCAGAACGCTTCGTAAGCGCAGAGAAAATCATAGATATTTGGCATAGAAAATCAGCTTCCATTTCGAGTTCAGGCTGCCACACGCTCTCTTGATAACTACCTCAGTGGTCTATTGAATAATCTGCTAGACTGCGGAACCTATTACAATTTTTCCTCCCAAGTTCGAGTCCTACTCCCGCCAAACTTTTTTGCTTTTTTAAAAAAACTACCTTTAGTGGTTACTCTCAAGTTCCGAGCTTAATCCGATGGAATTTGGAATTTTCTTGAAGCAAAAAGCGTGCTTTTGACAAGTGATTGACAAATTTATTCCCTAAAACCATGTGTGTTTTTTTTTCAATTCTTTGTTCGCTTTATTATAGCTGTTTGTGTGACTCAAAAATCTTTAGTCGGCTCCTTCAGTCATCCATGAGTCACAAGATTGATCACCAATTGGAGTATTTGAATAGAATTTGTTGCAAATCTCCGCATTGTCTCCATCAGCGATTAGCGCTTGATAGAGATTGTTGAAACCCTCGTGTTCTGATTTGACATAGTCCATGCATTTTTGTTGCTAAATATAATGAGATGATGAGATTTTGAGGTTCTTAATCAGAAAACAAGTTGATACCGTGATCCTTTCGCCTTTGTCGGATTACGGTAGCACTTGAGTACTTTAGGTTACAGTTAATTGATCTCCTTTAGAACCGTTTCAAATGAAAGAGCTCAAATTAACTTTTCCAAAGCTTTCATTCAAACCCACATCTCTGTTCTCGATATATTTATCATAGTATCCCTCATCGCATTTCTCGATGATCATTTTCAAATAGACTTCTTCGGTCATTTCACTCAATGGTTGTGTGTCCTCATTAAAAGTTGCTTTAAAGAAATCAATCAGTGTCTAAATTTATAGAAATAAGGCAATGCGTTTATGGACTTTTCTAAAATGGGTTCAATTTCAAAGGCTACCGTAATCTTGCCCAGTTTTATCCAAGATATCCACGTTTTGTCTGATTCTGTGAAAGTTCATAAATGAAACAGAATTCTACAGTAAGCTAGAGTAAGCTAGAGTAAGCTAGAGTAAGCTAGAGTAAGCTAGAGTAAGCTAGAGTAAGCTAGAGTAAGCTAGAGTAAGCTAGAGTAAGCTAGAGTAAGCTAGAGTAAGCTGTAGTAAGCTAGAGTAAGCTGTAGTAAGCTAGAGTAAGCTGTAGTAAGCTAGAGTAAGCTGTAGTAAGCTAGAGTAAGCTTAAACAAAAACTAGAGGCTAGATTACGATAGTCTTGCCTTTAGTTGCCAGGCTTTAGGAAATTTGTCACAAAGAAAAGCACTCAAGAGAATATTCAAATTCCAATTTCAGTAAGCTATTTAGTTTTACCTTTATTATAGTTTTATGACATTTCATTGCAAAACCCACAAAACAATCTCGACAATTCGAAATTTGCCTCTCAATAACATCGCCTGGTTGAGCAAAAATACACCCGAAAAGAATCACCAAAATAACCATTTTCATTTTTCGGAAGAATGGATAGACTTTGGAGTATTTATAGTGAAAAAATTATGTGCAAAATAAATTTAGATAATGTAGAAATTAGAATAATTGATGTTCAGTTGAGAAATCGCTTTTTTTTTGCTTTTCTCACATTTCAATAGAGGTAAGCGGCGCTTTTGAAAAGGTGACTATTGAAATGGGAAAATGGGAAATCGGAAATGGGAAATCGATAGGCAATACTCATTTCACAGAGAAAAAAACCTTGCGAAATGTTTTGACTATACTTTTCTATGTAATTTGTTGTTAAAAGATGGAAAGAAAACCTTTCTGGCTCACTTGTTTTTCTTAGATCACGATTTTCATTGCTTGGACACAGAAGTTACACTCCAGAAGTGCCGCAAATTCTTTCATTTAACAAATTCGACACAACATTGAACAAGTTTAACAAGTTTACATAGCTGCGACAGAAGACAAGCGCCTCCTTTTATTTTTCACAGTTCATGAAAGCGAAAGGTTGGAAGTGGGTTCTCTGGAGTGACCAGAAAAAGACAAGACAATCTGGCTCACTTGTTTTTCTTGCAATCATGATTTTCATTGCTTAGACACAGAATTATCACTCCAGAAGTGCCGCAAATTGTTTCATTTAACAAATTCGACACAACATTGAACAAGTTTAACAAGTTTACATAAGTTTTCTGAGCTGCGACAGACAGACACGCGCCTCCTTTTATTTTACACAAAATTCATGCAAGCGAAACGTTTAGAAGTGGATTCTCTGAAGTGACCAGACAAAGACAAAGACAAAGATTAACATGTTCAACCCGGATAGTGGTCAAATGATTCGAAAACCTATTGAAACACGCTACAAACTCAAGTATCGCTACAAACTACAATCGCTACAAACTCAAGTATCTTCGTCCTACAGTCAAATTTAATGTTGGCGGAATCATGTTCACGTTTCTTATTGAAAAATACGTTTCTTCGCTTTATCACAAAGTTTATCATAAAAAAATAGAGGAAAACATTTGTTTAGTGAAGTAAACAGGCTTATTAAAGTTTTAAAAGCAAGATAGTAGAAGATTTTCTGATGCCCTTTACTATGGAAGCTCTTATCAAATAAAAACAATAACAAAAAGATTGAAAATTATGTAAACACTGAACTAGGTAAAACTTGAAAATACACATTTGACCGATTTATTTAACGTTTTTCTTGAAATGAATGATGGGTGGCTATGAGAACGACTACGAGAATGACTCAATAGGTAAGAAAAGATTCTTGCCTCAATAGGTACCTCAATAGGTAAGAAAAAGTATTACATTTAAAACCTGGTGTTGCTTGAAAATACAGTAAAATCTGTGACGACTTCTGTTAAGCTATAGTATGGCGGAATTGATGTTGGTTTGGCCAGAAAGTCTTGTCTGCCTTTTTGAAATTATCGTTTATAAATGAATAATTAGCCGATCAACGTGTGGTTTGCTTTAAATAAAAAAAGATTATCGAAGACAAGCAATTGTTGGGATCCGGAGAAAAACCAAATCCTGAATCCAAGCCCGAACTCCACCGGAAGAAGATCGTACTGAGCATTTGATTGGATACTGAATTATTCCATTTCTGGGGACTCGTTTAACTCTGTTGTCCAACTTGTGGTAAATCTAAAGATCTAATAAGTTTAAGAACCACTAGTGTTGTTTGAAAATACAGTAAAATCTGTTACGACTTTATTTACGCTATAGTATGGCGGAATAGATTATCGAAGACAAGCAATTGTTGGGGTCCGAGGAAAAACCAGATCCTTAATCCAAGCCTGAGCTCCACCGGAAGAAGATCGCACTGAGTATTTGATGGGATACTGAAGGACTGATTTGGAAGACCTAAAGGCACAATTATTACAGCCCCCCTATACACTGGGCAGCTAGATCGGCTCGCTCCTGAAGTTACAAGAGACCGAACAAAGGAAAGGTCATATTGCAGCATGATAACCCAAGGTGCCAAAGTTGACCAAGGAAAAGCTGAAGGTTTTGGGTTTGGAGGCTCTCCCAAATCCTGTATATTCTTCCGACTTAGGCCCTTTTGTTTTTCATCTTGTCAGGAAGATGTTCGCTGAATTGGAAACCGAGCAATTTGATAAAGAAGAAATCGAAAATTGGTTGCGCGATTTCTTTGCTCGCCAAACTCACGCGTTCTTGGAGAAAGGCATTCACGCTTTGGTCAATAAATGAGAACAATTGAGATTTAATAATGGTGAATATAGCATGAATAATATATATAGAATGAATATATGTTTTGGTTTTCAAGAAATTACAATTCAAAAAAGTGGTCAAGACTTAAAAAACCTTATAAAATAGCTCTGAATTGATTGAAGTCCGTAGCTAACTATAGCTGTAATTCTTGCCTACGGAAGTACAAGGTGAACTTTGAAGCACGGTATCCGGCAGGTTTGCTAAAGGTTGGACCCAGTAGCTCTCGAATCAAACAACCAAGCTTGAGGATTTCAGTGAAGACTCTTGACTATACGGATTGGAGCGTATTGAATTCGAATTGGACTTGAAAAACTGGACTCGAACGGAACGATCGGATCAAAGTTTATGTTTCCCTTAAAACTTGTTTAGTTCAAAGTCTTTTCAATCTGGGTAACTTCATATTCGGATAAGTTCGCCTTTAAAAAAGTTGGTTTCAGTAAAATGGCCTCTTTTCAAGATCTGTGAAAGTGTTTCAGGGATCTAGATTTACTAAATTCAACTGTCAACCATCAATTCAACCAATGAACCAGTAATTGCTTGTCTTTGTCCTGTTTTCTGATTGTTTTGAAAGAGTTTCAATGCATTGTAATGTATCACTCAGAGATTCGAGAAGCTAAAGTCTCATCAAATTGTTTATTTTGATGATCACTGATTGTGAGCGTTGCCCTTTTCAATAAACAAACACTTTTCTCTGAAAACATTTCAACTAAATTCTTCTCAAAGTGTCAAAAATGTATCTAATTCAAATATTATCTATTCTTCTCATTTCTGGGATTTATGCCAGTAATCAGTGTCCCGAGAAATGGAGTTATTTTGAGAAAACTGATGGTTGTTATCATTTAAATGTGAGTTTTTTGAAAAAAGTAAATGATATGATGATGATAAATGATAAAGTTTAGAATTTCACAAATGATGAGAATGATCGCTGGAAAATGTACACAGCGAAAGAAGCTGAAGAAAAATGTAAAGAATGGGAGTCTCATTTGGTGTCGATTCACTCAAAAGATGAGGATGATTTTCTTCAAGGTGAGTTTTTCATCGGTGTTACGACTTTTAAGGGAAATTTAATCTAGCTATCACATCATTTAAAGCCTTATAACTAGGGATAAAGTTCATTGGGACATAGAATCTGCTCCAGTAGCTCATAGTTCTTGAAATCTAACTGCTGGAATGCTAAAATCTCCTGTTTCATTGCAATGTACTGTCGCGACAGTACATTGCATTTTGCAAAATACACTAAAAACATGGCCGAGTGGCCTAAGGCGCGCGACGTGAATCCCGCGCCAAAGTATGGGGTTGTTGGTTCGGCTCTCCCGCGCACTTGAGCTCTTATTTTGCATATTCCTTAATTGTTTTGAGTGAATACGATACATAGCTACATTGTTCTTTTGAACAAAACAATTGTCCAATAGAGAATTTTTTAGATTTTCTCATTTCTTTTTTAAAAAATGTTATAACTTTTTGTAGTGTTGAGCAAATTTGATGATTTTTGCATCAAAATGTTCGTAAGAGTCTCTAGAATAAAACTCATCCCTTCGTTTTTGGTTCTAGACCCTCGTTGTCGAGTTACGAGCCCCAAACTGCAGGGTACCACAAAATTTCGCATGCAAAATGACCAAAAAACCGCTAAAACTAAATTTAAAAAATTTCTGTCAGAGGGATTTGAAAAATTCCTTCAGATTCGGAATCAGCACAATTTTCCGCATCTAAAAAAGATACTCCCAGAAAAATCCGATAGAAAACGCATTTTCGCGCCGATGTGCCTCTCGCCGATCGCGCTCTTTTTACAGCTCCTCCTTCATCAATCGCAATGTTAAGTGTACTGAAACAAAGCAAAATTTCAATATTCTTTAAACACTTTAATTGCAATTCAGCTTTTAAGCCGAATTTTTCTGATCCAGGAATAATATAGTCGAACTTCGATATAACAAACTGCAAGGGTGCAATATAACGAACTTCGATAGAACGAACGCGAACCAGCCGAAGAGTTCGTTATGTTGAAGGGTACTTTATATCGAAATTCGTTGTATAGAAGCAAATAACTAAAAATAGCTGAGGTTCAGGGCTATTTTTGATACCTAAGCGCGCATTATAGCATGAACCAGTGTCGAGAAAAACTCGTTCAAAGCTAGACTAGATAACACTCTGCACCGTCATTATGGGGCCGGGGTACTATTACAGTATTTACGGTAGGTTAATGCATTCAAAAAGTGTTTTTTTGAAAAAATGTTGGCAAAATCTTGGTTAGTCTTTAAGCGACTCTAGCTTTGGAGTAGTTCCAAGTGTCAAGTATCAAGGAGTATCAAAGTATCTATCAAACCTATCTACCTATAATGTAATAGCACTCCACAGTCGCCGAGTCGCAAAAGTTGTTTAGTATTTCATTTTTTTCAAAGCGCCCTACTTTACTTTAAGAAATAGGCCTGAATTTCAGCTTTCATTTGATACCTAAGCGCGCATTGTAGCATAAACGAGTGTCGAGAAAAACGCGTTCAAAACTAGACTACGCAACACTCCGCACAGTCATTATGGGGGTGGGGTTCAATTACAGTATTTACGGTAAGCGTTTAGTCGGGATTGAATACAGAGTTCGTTATATTGAAGTGTACGTTATATCGAAATTCGACTGTATATAGAAATATAAACTTATAGAATTAATCAAATCGAATGTGAAAGAACTGAAGGACGGACACAACCCGTGTTTCTTCCAATATGCGTGGATTGGATTGAGAGGAAATGGAAAAGCAAACTCGGGAAGTTGGACTGATGACACTCCCGTTGATTACACTAGTTACGCAAAGGCTGAGGAGCTAGATAACAAATTTTGGAAGGTTGGAAGATTTTGATGCTTTGATTGACGCTGATTAAGTTTAAATTTAAAAGTCTAGCCTATCACTTTCACTTAAGCAATACTGAGCAATCCTTTTTGAGCACAAATTAACCCACCGTTTAAGTTAATAAGTTATTAACCCACCCACAATTAACCCACCAAATTAACCTACCAATAAGTTTGTCCAAAAGCTAAAAACAAAATCAGATCTATTGATGAGCTTCTTAAACTTCTTAAACTTTAGATTGGAAACGATGAATCGTGTCAAATCCAAGGATGGGCATGGTCCGGTGAAGAAGCTCATAAGAATGCCCGTTTCATCTGCAAAAAGCAAAACAAAATCATGTTAGCTAACTAGTTTTCAAGTGCAATCTTTCAAATGCAATTTAAAAGATTTGTGATTTCTATTTCTATTCATTCCAATCAATAACATTTAATGCACAATTTCATATAGTAAAGATGAAGTCTTAAGAAGAAAAACACGGTCAACGTCCACACCATAACTATTGAGACGATCACCATTTTTGCGTAAGGATCATTGTTGAGAATGTGATAGAGAATATGGGGAATACAAGAGATCGCAACAATCATCTAAAGAAATACATGTTTTGCTTGTTTACCTCATTTGTTTACATCGTTAACTTTATAGCGAAATCTAAATAACCTGGATAGATTAGAATACATTATATCTGTCATAGGAAAGGCTAACTTGTGTAGACTATGAGTAAGTAGGCTAAAAGATCCATAGTTTCTCACCAAATAAACCATAAACACAATTAAAAGTTCACGACGCTTAAAGAGAATTGCGTAGATTCCAACAAAAACGATTCCTTATCGGGTAAACCTAACATAAATGGGCAATGGGCTCTATAATCTCTATAATTTTTTTTATTGTCATCTTCTTGACACTTTGCTTCCTGTTTGCTAAAATAGGTGATTCTGAAAAGTTAAGGCATTAGATTTTTAAGTACTTCGAATGGTTAGTTACTTTAAATGGGATCTATTACCTATCCATTAATCCATTAAAAACTTGTCATTCAAAAAGTGATTAAGTCACTTCATCCTGAAGAAAATTTTTGTCAAAAACTTTTTGAAATAGACGAGTTTATCAAAAAGATTTGGGAAGAATTGATGGTTTGGTTTTTCAGAAATCATCGTGCAAACTTTTTCTACGAATTTTCTTGCCAATCTAGTAGATAACCTGTATAAACTTGAAAATATGCCTTTATGCATAGCAAAGTCTAACTTGTGCAGACTATCTATGAGTAAGTAAGCTATGGTTAAGTAAGCTATGGGTAAGTAAGCTACGGCTAAGTAAGCTATGGGTAAGTAAGCTATGGGTAAGTAAGCTATGGGTAAGTAAGCTATGGGTAAGTGAGCTACGGGTAAGTAAGCTATGGGTCTAAAAGCAAGTATTGCATAGATCCTCACCAAATAAACCATAAAAACAATTAAAAGTCCACGACGTTTAAAGAGAATCGCGTAGATTCCAATACAACAAAAGATGATGTAGGAGAGAAAAATAGCCGTGCCAGCGATTGTGTTAATTGTTTCGAGAGGACTCTTTGAGAACATTTCTTCTAATGAACTGAAATAAAACACATTACCACCTATAGTTGATGAAAATCAAGCTTTAAAATTCAACTCACCCTTCACTTTTCACGAGATGAGTTAGAGACCAAAAAACGGCATCGACAACAATGAAAAGAGCCGAGAAAATCATGATGAAAGCCTAGAAAGTTTTTCGATGACTTGGGAGCTTTTTTCTGTAACGAAATACATGAGTAACTTTAACTGTACAGCTTTGACATAAGACTTAGTGGCTTGTTAATCAAGTGTTCATTATTGAGACATATTTCTTAAATCTTAAGAAATGTTTCTTAAGAAAATTATTTTTTAAATCCTCAAAACTCAAAAATTTTCGCAAGCTTTTTGTGTTTTACTTGTTGTTAGTTTTGTTGTCATTCTGTAACCATATCCATATAAAAATCAGAGCTAGAAGAACAACTCAATTATTGGGTTCATGAATTAAAAACTGCGGGCTATTGTTATATGTCACAGTTTGAGCACTTTCTTCAAAAGAAACCAGTTTTGGTGTCAATGGAAAAGTTGTAGAGAATCAAAAATCAAGCTTATATCCCATTCTCAGAACGATTCAGAACCTGGTTTTCAAGAAATGCCAAATTTACGAATTTTCACAAAACTTGCATTTTAAGCGAAACTGCTAAGTGTATCTTTTTGGAAATTTGGATATAAGCCTAATTTTTGATTCTCTACAACTTTTCTATTGACACCAAAATGGGTTTCTTTTGAAGAAAGTGCTCAAACTGGGACATCTCCAGTCCTCCATTTCTGAGTCTCACACTTGTCTCACACACAAACCAAAACCCTACTACGAAAGAGGAATCCGCAAATTGCCTGTAAAATGGGCAGAAGTCGTCAATAATAATGGAAACTATTTCGAATGAATTCATGGCTTTATGTTGAATAAATTTTAGTTCAAAGTCCAGCACTTTTTAATTCACCAACCCAATACGTCATACTTTCATTATCAGTTTTGACTCTGCTCTTTGCGATTACATCACAAAGAGTTGACTACCTAGTTTACCGCTCCGGAAGACCGCAAAAACGATCTTTACAGATAAGACTCATTCTGAACAGCATTTCGAAAACAAACAGATTGACTCCACAAAATGAAAAACACTTATTTTTCGTCTTACAAACCTTGTGCTTCTTTCTCATTTTAGGCCAAGTCGTTGATTGAATTTGCTAAAACTTTTTATCAATTAAAAGAAGAAATTCTGTTACACAAGAGTGCGGTGGTTTAGGAAGGGGGCTGACGGGGATTTTGCATTTCTGTATCGAATCAAGTGAGCCGGATCGATTCACTGAGCGGTAGTCTAAAATGATTGGCAATGGGAAACGTTGCACATGTACTTTGGCCTCAATTTCGCAAACAATCACTTGCTTGCATACTCAATTCGATCCTTGCAACGATAATTTGATGTCAGTATTAAGAAAAGCGTTTTTAAGGAGAATTGATAGTACTTGTGACTTTTAATCTTTACTAGGCTTACACCAAGTAGTTGTTAATTAAAGTCACAAATAACCTGAAATTATTGGACTCTGGCCAAGAAAATCTTTTCCGTAATTTTCATATTTTACTCGAGAAATCACTAATTTACCAGTCGGTGCACGGTTTTCTTCCATAAAAATATCTTTATTGCTTAGTTTACAGTCTTTTTAAACAAATTTAAGTATATTTTTAAGGAAAAAAATCTAGAAATGCAAGTTTCTTTTTGGAAATTGTTCAGATGAGCATAGATTAAAAAAGATTGAACAGATCAAGCTGAAAATTTGGTTATATGTCTAACTTTTTATGCTCTATCTTTCTTAAATACACACTAAAATAGGTTTCTTTGGAAGAAAATAGCCAAATCGTTTCGGAAAATCTGACGATTTTTGACTAACCTTTTCTTACCTCTTGAAAAATCCCTAAAACAAGTTTTTCTCAAAGTCAAAGTGACTTTCAAAAGTCATTTTACAGATAAATCTCAAATATTTTCAATACCACAAATTGCAAGTCAATCGGCTTTATCGCTTTTAATTGGCAATGAGAATTGAGGACAGGACTTTTCGCTCAATAGCAATGGTTAATGAGGCCTTGTTAAGCGTTTACCGATACTTACAGATAAAAGATAAACGATAGTATTAGTAGATATTTTCTTTCCAAAAACGATTTTACGATTACCGGATAATGTAAACCGATGATATTAGGGTTCAATTCCAGAATCTAGTCCTAATCTTATCGGAAGCTATCGATGAATCTAAGTAATATCGTTAAAAATCGTTTATCATTAGCTAAGTATCGTTTCGGTACGATTTAGTTAACCATTTCTATTTGAAATCTTAAAATATGCTCATCAAAGCCCAAGTTTTCTGGAAAAAAAAGGAAAAAAGATAGTTTTTGAGTACAAAATAAGGGGTAGGCTATTTTCCGCAATTTTTTTTGCGCAACTCGCCATAACTTTCTTCTAAGTGGACCAATCTTTATGTTTTTGGTTTCATTTTGTTGCACTTATTGATATCTACAAAATGAAACCAAAAACATAAAGATTGGCAGAATTAGAAGAAAGTTATGGCGAGTTGCGAAACGACCCAGTTCTGCAAATGACCCTGTTGCGCAAAAAAAATTTGCGGAAATTAGCCTGTCCCCAAAATAAACTTAAACCTAAGCCTTTCCAAGAAATTTTCTCAGCACAATCATTCTAATGGTTTAAATACAAATACCAGTCAAATTTAAACATAAAATAACTCTAGTTCATCCAATTTCTGAACTTACTCAAGCTGTATCCAAGTTTACCTCCATATTCCGACACTCAAGCACTTACCTCCATACTCCGACGTTGTCTCGTACTCGTTCTCATAACCAGACATTCGAAAATCTTGCCAAAAACCTCCAAAATAACAAATCAAAACCAATCAAATGATTCCAAATCGCTTCCTTTCCAATCTCTGATCCTGTGTACTTGGTGATTTTGAAGGAGTGCTTTATTTTGAGAAGTGTTTGTTTTGCCTCAAGCTGATAAGAGAGCTCATTTGAAGCCAAATCGAACAAGATTTTGCCTAAATTTGTGGCATTTTATACTCTTTCTTTGATCTTATCACTATCGACTATACGAAAATGCAATTCGCTTTTGCAACAAGGCGATTTGCCTCAATTCTCAATTTCCCTGAATGTTTTGGGCTTTGAATTCAAAAGCCAAAAGCTAAAAAGCTTTGTTTCAACAAATTCTAAAGAGAGAGCAATCTAGGCTCTAGGATAAATTTATATTAGCTATATTTTCAACGTTAAAAGTAGAGAAGCGGTAAAAAAAACTGGTTAAAACCAGTACAACGATGTCTAGAAAAGCTTAGAACTCTAAAGATTGGAGTAAAAAAAAGTTCAGAAGATTTAAGCACTTTGAAATTTCAAAACTCAAACGGTTTACTAAACAAAATAATATCTAGCTTTTTCAGAATACTTTAAGCACTTCATTTTAACTTCATTCATTAGTTACATTTAGATTGGCACGACGACAAACAAAGATCGTTGACAGACGGGGATCGCTCGCGAATAGGTTCGACTTATGGCCAAAAATGAGCTCAATCTTCACTCTTACAAGCTCAAGCAAAGGCAACAACTCGACGACGACAACAAACGAGTTCGATTCGAAAGATGTCGAGACCTTCTCAAGCGGACCGCAACTCCACACTGGGAGCGAATCATGTTTTCTGACGAGAAGCTCTTCTCGGTGGAGCAAAGCTACAAACACCAAAGCTATCTGATTTGGTCAACGTCCTCTCCAGGCAGCTCTGCAATTGTTCAACACCGACAAAATCCCAAAACGGTCATGGTATTGGCCGGAATCTGCGCAACTGGCAAAACTCCTCTCATTTTCATCGATTCTGGGGTAAAATCTTTCAAATTTCTCACACTAACAATAAGCTGTATTACCAGTTTTTAGAATTACCTTTAAATTTTGCCTTTGAAACTTCAATTTGCAAAAGTTTGGGACTTTCTTGACTTTGTGGGCGGCGCCCCATCTTGTTGGAAAGTTCAAATTTGATTTTTGAAATGCTTTTGTGCCCAGTGCAAAATTTCAGCTTTGAGGAGATCGAGATAGTTAATAATAATAGATAATAAGCCACTGCACTTATAGTTATGGTAAAAATCAATAAGGATGTGTACCAAAAAAAAGATTCTTAAGGATGTTTTGCTTCCATGGGCTCAACAGCATTTTGGTGACGGATTTTGGACCTTCCAACAAGGCTCCGCTCCTTCTCATCGAGCCAAATCCACACAGGACTGGTGTAGGACAAACTTTCCGAATTTCATCTCGGCCCAGGAATGGCCTCCGTATTCGTGCGATCTCAATCCACCAGGAGTGGAGCCTGAGGCTTAATTTGACTCAACACGGGAAAACTCACCCGGCCCGGACACTGTAAGGATTGACAGACTGAGAGCTCTTTCTTGATTCGGTGGTTGGTGGTGCATGGCCATTCTTAGTTGGTGGAACGATTTGTCTGGTTTATTCCGATATATAGGACATCCTGTATCTTGTGACGTGTGCGAATCAAAATTTCCCTAGCTTTCTTCAAACTCAAACTTTAAAAGCCATGCCAAATTCTAATTCTTTTTTTCTTTCTTTCTGAAATTCAAATTCGGAGTTTAAAACTTTATTTACACAATTTTTTCTTTTTTCCTTTATCCGCTAGCTGAAAGTTTCCCCTGGCATTGCGCGATTTGTCGCATTTGATCGGTGACTCTGAAATTGTTCTCAAATCAGGTTTTAAATTAAAAACTGCAAGCTTTTCAATGGGCTAAGTAATAAATTGCTCTAGTAATGTTGACTCTAGCCTTTGAAGTCCTCAAACTTTCCCACTTGAACATTGGACCATGACCGGGTGAAATGTAATCAGAGGCACAGATCACTTTGTTGCGGTAGAGTTGACCTGAAATTGAAGAGCTTTAGTCTCAAGCTCCATTAGGAATATTGTACTTGAAATTTTAATCAAAACTATTAATTTTGTGTTTAGTAGAATTATGTGTTCCCAAAAGATTGTGGGAAAGTTGATACGCCCCCTTTGCCATTGGCAATCTAACTTTGAGCTCAAATATCTTGGCTTTGGGCTGTCCCATTTAAATAGTTTTTGTGACGGTCGACAGAGAAAGACTTGGCGCATCGAATGATACCAAGAATATTTAAATTGGACAGCCCAACACCAAGATATTTGAGCTCAAAGTTAGATTGCCAATGACATAGGGGGTGAGGCACGTATAAAATCTCCGATCATCTAAAATATGAGGCTTGGTATACCTATTGGGTGGGGCATGAAAAAAAAAAACTTCAGCAGATTCGCAAATAATTTTGTAAGAGGAGGAATTCTCTACAAAAGCATAAAAGAAAAAAAAAAGGAGATTTTTCCCAAAAAAACCAAAAAAAACGGTTGGGGGTCCTCCTTTTGGCAACTTATGGAATGGAATCTCCTTTTTTTTAAACCAAAGAAGGTTTATTGGGAGGAAGTCAAAGATGAGTCGGGCCCTTCCTTTTGGCCAGCTGGGTTTGAAAAGCAAAGAAGGAAAGAAAAAAAAAGCTTTGAGAGAAATAGTGGTCTTTTGTGAAAGAGAAAAAGAAGGTTTTTTGCGCGAGTGTGTGTTTATATAGGTGGGGGGGGGGGGGTCCCCCCAACCTAGTTGAGGTTGCTGAGCTCGACTCGTCCAGAGAGTCGAGTTGAGCACGTCTTGATCGCTGAGAATTAAATCACCTAAAATGTTTGATCAAAGTTACAAATAAATTATGCATCAAGGGGGGGGGCACATTCGCGCGAAATAAGGCAAACAATTGTTTTCTATAGGATTTTAACGTTTGAATAGTCATTTGAAGCAGAAAAATGTGCTGAATTCAATAGTAAAACAGCTGATAAAACGTTTTTTGTACGATTTGTACGTTTTTTGTACGATTTTGTATTTTTGTACGATGTTCAACACCGACAAAATCCCAAAACGGTCATGGTATGGGCCGGAATCTGCACAACCGGTAAAACTCCTCTCATGCGGGAAATGAAAGAGATACTCAACAGTTCGTGAACTTGCTCAACAGTTTCTATGTTCAAATTCTACTATTGATGAGCATCTCCACGCCATTGGAAAGGCGATCAGATGCGGGAAATGGCTTCCTCACGAGTTAAGCAGTGCAAACGCTCGTTTATATCCGAACAACCTAATAATAATAATAAAACAAAACGTAGATCAATCAACACATTATTCATTTCTAAACAGAATTCTAAAAAAGATGATCAAGATTTAGGTGCCAATTTAATAAAACTCGATCCCATGAATATTTTTTAGGTAAAGTGAAGATCTCTATCGGAAAAAAAGCTCAAAGTGCTTATAGTGGTCAACTTTCTCGACTACCTTTAATTTATCCACTATAATTTGGCCTGATTTTGTGGGGTTCACGTAAACATCGATGTTAGTGGTTCGTATGTATGTAAAACTACTCAAAAACAAACAAAAAATTCACAAAATCTTTAACAATATGAAATTTTTGCTTTTTGCATGGTTTCAATACTAAATTTTGCTTGTTTCTTGAAAGAAATCCTATTCAAAAAGGTTCCCAATATTACCCTATTCGTGCTCGGATTCGCCATCTGATTCTGTTCATAATATTGAGCAATTGATCGACTGAATAACTGGCAGAAGATAAACAAAAAAATCGTAGAAATCATTTTTGCGATGAGCTCTCTTCAATCAACCTTTCACTGGCTTTATAGTTGTCGTTTGATTTATTTTGACACTTTTTTTTCTTTGATTACTTTTGATTACTTTCAACTCCGCCCGTCTTAGATTCAAAGATCCTTCAAAAAGTTACTCTAGTTTCTATTTGATTGTGAAAGTTCGAATTGAAAAAATCTCTATTTGATTCCAGAAAGAGTTGTTTTGTTTATTGAGAAATTTCGCGCTTTTTGAACGCTTTTTGAACGATTTTGAACGCTTTTTGAACGATTTTGAAAGCTATGAACGCTTTTGAACGCTTCTGAACGCTTTTTGAATGCTTTTGAACGCTTTTAGGCAACTTGATTCTTCAAATTGTGCGAAACAAACACATTTTTAGCTTCAAGCATCAACCAAACGACTAGAACGGGCACAAAAACTACAACTTTTGTACCCTGCCTGTGCTTCAGAAAGTTTGCGTTTACTTGTCGAGTACAAAGTACGATTTTAAAGTTCAATCAATCTGATAATAAGTAATGTCAATCTCGAGTGATTCCAGAGATCTGTTTACCAGTCTGATGCCCAATAAAAACGCTTAAAAATCCGCTTCTCTCTATTTTGATTCGGAAAAAAGGGCGGAGTTAATATGACTGTCCTGGGCCCATCGACCAGACACTAACTAGGCCAGGGCCAGGCTCTGGTCTGGTCTGACTTACACGTTGAACACAGTTAAGCCTCGGCCTAAGCCTAAGCCTAAGCCTAAGCCTAAGCCTAAGCCTAAGCCTAAGCCTAAGCCTGAGCCAAGCATCAACCAAACGACTAGAACGGGCACAAAAACTACAACTTTTTTACCCTGCCTGTGCTTCAGAAAGTTTGCGTTTACTTGTCGAGTACAAAGTACGATTTTCAGGATAAATCAATCTAATAATAAGTAATGTTAATCTCGAGTGATTCCAGAGATCTGATTACGTCTGATGCCAAATAAAAACGCCTAAAAATCCGCTTCTCTCTATTTTGATTCAGAAAATTCGCGAATCCGTCAATCCGAATTCGAATAATTCGTGGAATTGGGCGGTGTCACCAAAAAAATTTTGTCACCTTTTGGTCAAAGAGATAAGCCCGAATGATTTAGTACTTAAAGAAAGGGAAATATTCAGAAAATTTGAAGAAAATTTGAAACTATTATTGGAATCATTTTTTAATAATAAAAACCTTTTTGTGCTGATTCTCCAAAGATTTGAACGCTTTTGAAATCGAGGAAAAAAACGCGGCAAAGGTAAGAGAAGGCAATTGGAGTGAAACTGAAAAAACAGTGAAACAAACTGGGGAAACTTTCTGGAGGAATCGCGGAAGATGAAACAATTCTATTTCTTGTGCTCATTCTCTACACTTCTTCTGCTAATTGTTGCTCAAAATTGTCCAAAAGGCTATGTGGAGAGTGTTGGTGGAGATGCTTGTCTTTATCCCGTTACACTGCGTGAGTTTTTAGACAAATCATGGTGTTAACTATGCCTGGGAATTTTCGATGTGAATCTTGGTCTATCTTGGCCTATCTTGACCTATCTTGGCTTATCTTGGCCTATCTTGGCCTATCTTGGCCTATCTTGGCCTATCTGGGCCTATCTTGGCCTATCTGGGCATATCTTGGCCTATCTTGGCCTATCTTGGCCTATCTTGGCCTATCTTGGCCTATCTTGGCCAATTTCACTCGGATCCTTTTGATTTTGATATCAATTGACACAGAATAGAATTTTCTATTGATTGAAATCAAAGACAAAAAGATTGGAGTGAAATTGACCAAGATATGGCATTTTTCCGTTGGACCTCTATTGACGTTTACACCGAAAATTCCCAGGTCTAGTGTTAACGGGTTATAGACATATCTAGGTTGTTAAAACCCATACTGATTCCGATAAAATAAGCCTAAGTATACGTTGTAGCACACTGTCGCATAAAACACCCTGAGAACAAGGCGCTTAAAGTTAGACTACGTGACGCTCCGTTGTAGCACACTGTCGCATAAAACGCCCTGAGAACAAGGCGCTTAAGTTGGACTACGTGACGCCCGTTGTAGCACACTGTCGCATAAAACACCCTGGGAACAAGGCGCTTAAGTTGCTACGACGCTCCGTTGTAGCACACTGTCGCATAAAACACCCTGAGAACAAGGCGCTTAAAGTTAGACTACGTGACGCTCCGTTGTAGCACACTGTCGCATAAAACACCCTGGGAACAAGGCGCTTAAAGTTAGACTACGTGACGCTCCGGCCGTCACTAGGCGGTGCTTTTATTAGAATGATTACGGTAGTTAACTATAGTTTTATAATGTTGTGGAGCTTCGGATGTCTAAACTACAAAAAAGCTTTAGTTGGGTTGAATCAGTTAGGTTTCTCAATTTTCTTATAGTCGAAAAGCAAATATCTTCAAAATATATCTTCATTTTATCCCTTTTTTTCAAATATCGAATAACGAAACTCGAAATAGTTCATCTTGTACAATGTATAACTTAACACATCAGAACAACTGTGTTTACCCTTTAGTTCACCCTTTAGCTTCATAAGTCGTACTAAAACATGAGCTTTAAGTTGTTGATTCAACTCGTATGCAGTGACGACCGGAAAGTCACGTAGTCTAACTTTAAGTGCCTTGTTCTCCGGGTGTTTTGTGCTACAGTGGGCTACAACGTATACTTATTTTATCGGAATTTTAACAAAACAAAAAGACCCAAGTTGTGAACCATAAAACTGTCAGAATATATGGTTATAGAGCTCCTTTAAGGTTATTGTCATTGTCATGCTATTCACAAAATTTTTTAATGTTTAATGTTTAGTTGAGAACTACCAAGATTGCACTCACAAATGTTGGCTACAACATGGCGTCGTTGCACAACCAAACAACGCTTTCGCCAACAAACAAATACAGCAAATGATTGCACAAAGTGAATGACATTTTGCTTTAACATTTTAATATTTTAAGCCTTAAAATTCTGATACTATTTAAATAATACTGATACTACTATTTCGCCTTAGATCTCAGTAATCAGCTCGCGTACATCGGTGTTATTCGCCAATCGGGAAATTGGGTCTACTCGGATGGAACGCCACTCACTTATCAGAATTGGGCTCCAGGTACGGCAAATGAAACTGCAAGAAGGGCGATCTCTAATCAAAATAACCCTATTTTGATAGGGTTGGCTGGCTATTTTGATTCTAAGCTTTTGACCTTTTGATACAATCTTTGATTGTGAATTGTTTCGATGATCTTTGATGCTTAATCGATGATTAATCAGAAAAGAAACAGAGAATTTTGTCTGCTTGTTGTTTTTTGTAAAACTGTAACTTGTAAACTCATAAAAGATTTAGACTTTGGTCTCAAAAAGACCTCAGAAAAGTCGGCTACATTGCTGATCTCCATGATAGAACCAAGAACCAGTTTACTTTTATCAATATCATGGAATACTGGTTCTGATTTCAAGGTTCTGATAATCCGTTCAAAGTAACTGTAATGAAGACAGTATCTACCTAGATTTTAGAAAAAGAGCTACAATTAAGCTACAATTAAAACAATTGAGCTACAGCTAAAGCCGGCTTTAGTCAGGCTTTAGTCAGGCTTTAGTCAGGCTTTAGGACAACCGAGCAGCTCGAGCAATTTGACAAACTGTGTGATTATGACCCCAAGCACCGGGCAATGGAAAGCGGTTGAGTGCAAAATTGAGAGAACGACAGTCTGCTCAATTCTTCTCACAGGTAAGAATACAATGCTTTATTCGGCGATTCTACCACTAGCTAAACAGTACATAGAAATATTATTGTTTTAGATCTACCCTGTCCAGAACCTACCTGGAATTTCCTCGACTCCAATCAACAATGCTACTTTGTATCGGTTTGTATCACCTTTTTTAATTTCAATACTTCAATTTACAGGATTTCACTACAACTGATCAATCTCGCTTGGTAACTTATCAATTTGATGAATCAAAAACATTGTGTCAAAAGAAAAATGCTCAACTAGCATCGATTCATTCACAAGATGAAGATCAATTTGTTTACGGTAAGAGGAAAGGTTTTTACCCGTTACTTGTTACAACCAATAACCTATAACCAATAACTAACCCATAACCAACCAACCAACCAACCAACCAACCAACCAACCAATAACCAACACCAGGGCTCGCTTTTACTGCAAGTTAGTCCACAAAAGTTCCTGGCACGCTAGAAGCCAAGTCTAGATCTGAATTCTGGCCAAATCATTGCATGTTTAGGACATCTCTGGTTAATTCTTGATGAGATCTGACCTACAGTACTGGACAATGAAATATCATATTTGAAAAAAGATCGTCACTTTCGCTCGTCTATAACTCCCTTGTTTTTGACTTTAAACTATTAGTGTTATACATTTTCTGAAAGCTCTTTTCAAGGGCTACACAATGGTAATATTAATATTTAGAAATACGGTAAAGACAAGGGAGTTACAGACGCGCGAAAGTGACGATCTTTTTTCAAATATGATATTTCATTGTCCAGTGTCCAGCGATCCCTGGTGTTGGTTATTGGTTATTGGGGTTGGTTTATTAGGTTGGCTCATAAGCCTTTAGACACTTTTACTAGCGTTTATAAATAACAAATTCACGAATTGACCTACAATTGGCCCCATTAGAAAGGCCTACTATTTTTCTAGAAAATAACGTTTGAATCTTATGAAAATGTCTTGTGGATGGTTTTTTATGTTGGCATGAAGTCGGGTAGTCAAAAAAGGTGACAACTCGAAGACATATCGAAGACATTTAGACGCTTTGATCCACAGAAACCTATGTTACTGTCAATAGATAAAAGATAGAGCGCAAAAGTTCGATATATAGCCGAATTTTCAGGATAATCTGTTTAGCCGATTTCTTTGTAGAGCTTTTTGCGAAAGAAGAGTTTTTGCACTCAAATTTATTTGGAAAAGGCCCTAAATTGTCATAAAAAGATAGAAAAATGAATAATAAGAGTTCTATTTAAAGCCAATTGTAGATCAATTGATGAATTTGTCATTTATAAACGCTAGTAGAAAAAAGTGTTTAAAGACTTACCAGCTAACATATGGGATTCTGGAATTAACACTGGAATATTCTGGCCGGCCCCAATACCTGTAAGTCAGGCCAGCCTGGCTTACAGGTCTTGGGGCCGGCCAGAATATTCCTTTGATGAGAAAATATTAAAATACACTGGAAGACATTGTGTCGATGAAGACATGAAAGAAAAACAGTTGAAATCTTTAGGATTGGTGAGCACGAATATGAAAAACGCATCCATACCCTACAGCAATCCGTGTGATTTTTCATATGCATGGATTGGTTTGATCGGTGATGGAAATCAAAACAGTACTTGGGTCGATGGAACAATGTTTGATTATCAGGGAATGAAGACGTTTTCGACTCATTGGCTGCCCTGGAAAGTGGGTTTTGAAAAGAGAAGTTGTAATAAGCTGTAATAGCTGACCATAATAAGCCGTAATAGCTGACCATAATAAGCTGTAATAGCTGACCGTAATAAGCTGTAAGAACTGACCGTAATAAGCCGTAATAGCTGACCGTAATAAGCTGTAATAGCTGACCGTAATAAGCTGTAATAGCTGACCATAATAAGCTGTAATAGCTGACCGTAATAAGCCGTAATAGCTGAGCGTAATCAGCCAAATCATAAAATAGTGACTGTTTAGCAGCAGATTAGATCATGTTTTCTCGATTTTCACTAAGTTATCTGTACTAGATGGTCAATGTTTTAGGCTAAGATTAGCTAAGATGAAACTAAGCTTAAATGAGCGTTTTGTTTTATTAAATAGACCTTTGGCTAACATTTTTCGACAATATCATTCAAAAGTTAACAATAATTGAGTCAATAATTAAGCTAAGAAATAAACGATTTCCTTGCAGATTGGCTACGATGAATCGTGTGGAATCTCAAAATGGCTCCCAGTCTCTTCATCTCTCGGTACAGCGAGATTCGTTTGCAAAGCGGATGCAAAACCACGAGCAAATTAATAAAATCGTTTGTTATTAACAATTAATATTTGTTATTAACAACATCTAGCTCATTTTTTCTGTATCAAGAATATAATAGTTATTTTTACTCGATAAACATCATGCTTTTGAGTGGGTGTTTATCTTCAATGTGCACGTGTCTCCGGGAATTCACTTTGCATATCTTTGCTGGGCAATTTTCCGCTTGAAATCTTCGCGAAACACTTTCCGGGTTTATTCTTGAGGTGACAAATCTCGAAAAGTTGACAGATTGACAGATTTTGCCTTTATTTTGGCTATATTTTGGCTATATTTATATTAAAACCAATTTAAGTATAGTATTTAAAGTTAAAACCAATTTAAATTTAAAGTCCAATCAAATAGACTACTTTAACTTTTAGACTTTAAGAATTTGAGAATTTCTATATCAAAGACAACTATTTGAATCATATGAGCTCTAGAAAGAGCTCTAGCTTGAAGCTCTAGAAAGAGCTCTAGCTTGAAGCTCTAGAAAAAGCTCTAGCTTGAAGCTCGAGAAATTTCGCTTTAAAACCAACTTTTGCAACTCGGAAATTTGTCAAGTTTTGCACGGAAATCTTTTCTTTTCTTTTCTGTAACGAAAAAAAACGTGAACCATGCAAATAAAGATAGCCTATCTTCATTCAATCTCTTTCGAAAGAAAGAAAAAAACTAATAGTTCTCAAGGGAGCTGAATAATCTGAGTTGTGTTGTGTGTAAGTGAGCGAAAAAAAAGAAGCGCTTCTTTCCTTTTTTTCCTTTCCCTTCAGAGATTCATGATTATGTTCTCGAGTCAAAGAAAAGCCGACAAATTCCCCACGCGTTTTGGGTATATAGCTGGGATTTTTGAGCTCACAAGTTGAGCAACAAGTTGAGCTTCATGATGATGTCATTTTTTTGGTTGTTTTCATGTATTGAGAGTTGGCTTTAGTGTAAAGAATCATAGTTTTAAGCTTTATATTTCTGTTTTCAAGTAAGTTGATTACTTTTGAGTAGAGTGTGGACATTAGACTTCGGCAAACAAAACCAAAACCAAAACCAAAACCAAAACCAAAACCAAAACAAACCAAAACTCAATTTGCATATAAATTAACATGTAAATTTAAAATTGTAAAATGCAAATTTTAATGTAAAATGCAAATTTGCCTTTCACTTTTTCTCACTCCACAAAATCTGGCGGCCGAAAAAAGGACCAAAACACGACCTCGAAACTTCGAGACAAAAAATAGCCTATGGGATAGATTTTTGGATGCTGATTTCAAATCTGCAAACAGATTTTCGCTAGCTCCTCCCAGTCGCGAGATATTGGCGAGTTTTGGTTAGTTTTGGTTTTGGTTTTGGTTTGTTTTGGTTTTGGTTTTGTTATGGTTTTGGTTTTGGTAGTTTTGGTTTTGGTTAAGTTTTGTTTTCCGAAGTCTAGTGGACATCTCAAGTAAGTATTTACTTCAGTAATTACTTTTTAAGTAATTTTTTGCTTGAGTAAGCGTTTTTATTTTATTTTTGACACTAGTTTTTGATCCGTCATCTTGTACCTAAAATTATGTGATATTCAATGATAGCAATAGCTGTGAAAATAATTAAAATGAATAAGCAATAGTAATACAATATAATACAATTTAAACCGGACCATCACACTTTCAAATAAAAAAAACTTTGGTCCTCGGAAGTAAGTTAACCCATTCGAAACCGCAGCGTTTTTTCTTTTTTTTCGTCTACGGACCAAGCCCTTTTTTGACATTTTTGACTCCGAAGCAGTTTATTTATGGTTGGAAAGATGTAAGAGAGTCTCCTACACCATTTATTTTTGATGAAGAACGATTTGGATTTGACTTCAGTACTTTTCAAGATCCTATCGATTATTGTTCTTATTTTATCGACGACAATATTTTAATAGGCGAATCTAATAAACATGGAAAAAGGAAAACAAACTGGCAGGATTTCGATGCAAAGTCTTTCAAGCTCTTCCTGGCTTCAAATGGGAATCGTCAAATTACCGAGGATTCGTGACTACTGGAGTAGCAGGCCTGGATTAGGAGGATTTTCCCACATGTCCCACATTATGTCAAGAGCAAAATTTGAATCTATTCTTCGCAACCTGCGTTTTTGTGATAATGAACTGGATTCTGCAGGAGATCGGCTTTATAAGATTAGAGCTATTATGGAACATTTCAATGCAAAACCAGAGACTGCATTGATTCCGGGTAAATATGAAACATCTTTTTTGCCCACGTAATTTGTAGATCTGCTACAATTGGAATATACATGTAATGCTGAAAAACAGCAAAAAAAAAAGCAATTAATTGAATGAAAATAGCTCAATTAGCGCTGCAGCGGTCCGTTCCCGAGTTTTTGCTGCAGCGATTATTCGCTGCAGAAGTTTCGAATGGGTTAAGTAAGTTCCTCCGCAGTTTCTTTTGCAAGCCCCTAATAGTTCTGTTTCCAAGTAACTTGATTACTTTTGAGTAGAGTGTGGACATCTCAAGTAAGTGTTTACTTCAGTAATTACTTTTTAAGTAATTTTTTGCTTGAGTAAGCGTCAAGTAAAGCGTCAAGTAATGCCCATTCTAAAACGCGCTCCTTTTGCGGTTGAATATAAAAAGAACCAATCATTTTATTTTATAAACATTTTATATTTTAAAGCTGCTAAGTTTTTAGCTGGTTTCAATGATTAAAAACATTTATTTTGTTTTTAATAAATTTTTGCGAGGAGTCTTTTTCAAATTAAACATAAAAAAGAATTCTTTCTTAAAAGTGCTGACTCTGACCGGATTCGAACCTGCGCCCTAACAGCCGCTCGTTTAAAAAGCGACTTAACAGACGCTTGTTTTAGAAGCAAACGCTTGTTTTAGAAGCAATCGCGTAACCCACTCGACCATTCACAGAGTTGCGGTAACTTTCTTCTTGGTCCACACGTTAGAAAACGCTTTACTTGAAATGTACACACTCTACTTTCATTCTAAGAATAGCTAGGTCATTCTAAGAATAGCTAGGTCATTCTAAGAATAGCTAGGTCATTCTAAGAATAGCTAGGTCATTCTAAGAATAGCTAAGTCATTCTAAGAATAGCTAGGTCATTCTAAGAATAGCTAGGTCATTCTAAGAATAGCTAGGTCAATGTTCAAATCTGGCTTTAGTGTACCAGAATTCTTTTGAGCCAAATCTGTAGTCAAACCAGGCCAGCAATGTCAGAAGCCAAACCAGAGCTTGGCTTTGGAAAAAAATTGGCTGGAAAAATTGCCTCGGAAAACTATCTTTAGAACAACTTTTTCCAAAAGGCTTTAAAGTTTTATTTGTCAAAACGTTTAAAAAAACGTAAGAAGACGTCAAACTTGAGGTTTAAACCGTCTAAATGATAAACGGGAAGGATATGGGATACTTGCGAATGCTAAGTTTTTAGACACATTCTCGATAAAGACATTTTAAAAGCTGAAAATTCACTTGTTGTTCATTTATCTCTTAAATTTGAAGCTTTATTGAAATTTGAGTTTTGTTGTCTCTATAAATTTTTGAGTAAATCCATAGTCACAGAATAAATTCGCTTTCTTATTCCTTGTAACGACAAACTCAAGTACAAAAACTGTTCAAATCCTGAAGACTTTGAACTTTTTTGAAGTCATAGGCTGAATCATTCAGTTTTTCCTTACTCTTTCTATTTTCAAAGCAATAAATCTCACTCAAATAATTTATTTGATGGCTCTTTATGGGAAAACGCTCAAAAATTCTCGATCCTGGTCTTTCTACGCAAAAATTCGTCCTAGAAAATTTGTAGTCCTGGAAAAATTGAGAGTTTAGTTAAAAGCGCTGAGAAATCTCACTGTTCTTCAAACTTTATACTTTGAAATTTTGAAATAAACATTGTTTTTATTAAACTGTTTGACTTGTAAATTGTTTTTAAAGATTTATCCATCAAAATAAACGTAATGATGTTCATTTATCTCTTAAAAACATAATGATTTTCATTTTTTGACCAATTTCCTTAGCCACCTACCCAATGTGACATTTCTCTCGCTTGTTTGAGACGCGTCCGGAAATTAGTTCACAAATTTAGCTACTTCTTGCTCTGAAATTACTTGAGAAAAAAAGAAAAAATTGAAAAGCCAAACGCGTTACGTCAAATAGACTAATCGGGGTAGGTTTCTACGTAAGTTTCCTGTTTTCGTTTTAAAATCAAATGTTAATTATATAAAGCTGGAAGTTTCTAGCTTTCTTTGACATTTTTAAAAGTCGCCTTTGTTCTTAGACTTGAGATCTCATCTCAAGTCCAGATTTCAGTAAAATTTCATCACAAAACCAAGAATAAATTAGCTGTCAAAACTGTCAAAGCGCTGTTAAAACATTAAACATTCGTTAAACACATTCGCTAGCACAATTCTTAAACACTTTTATTTTTCTTTTGGAAACATCTTATACTAGTTGTGAGTTTGAGAACGATTCCTTTAAAATAGTAAAGAATGAGCTTCAGAGAGAAAAAATATGTTTTTCGAGACGTTTTCATGTTAAATTTGAATTTCTACCGCAAATTTTAAAGGTTAATTTTCGCGAGACGTCGCATTCCAATTGACGTCACCGCCATTTGAAGGTAGTCGATGGGAGCGCCGCGTCGTCATTTCTTTTTCGTTTTCAAATCATTTTTCTTTGTAAAATTAATTGGAAGTATTGTTTTACATGTATTTTTATGTTTGTTTTATGTTTTTTTTTTGCATTAGTATCAATTTTGTGTTGAAATGAGAAAGCAATCTATTTGGTTGAATCTTCTGTCGTTAAATCTTAATTGCTGGCTATCTAATCAATATGTTACTTAAAACCTGTTTTCTTGGTTCTTCATTTGTCTTTCTATCCTGCTAGCACTTTGCCAGCAGGGGACTGCTTCGGGCAAAGTTCATCACCCTCAAGGTAACGCCCGCTCACACATCGCAAAGTTGACTCAAGAGAAACTCGAGAATCTAAATTGGGATCTGTCCCTCACCCGCCATATTCCCCAGATCTCGCCCCTACGGATTACCATTTTTTTCGATCTATGCAACACTCTTTAGCTGGGAAGAAGTTCAAAAACCACGATGATATCCAAATCTGGGTGCGCTGATGGTCAAACACCCCAGTTTTTCGAGAATGGAATTTGAGATTTGAAGGAAAAGTGGAGAAAGACTATCGTAAATAATGGAAAATATCTTTTGGAATAATTGTTGTTTTTTTTGGGGTGTTTTAGCAATAAAGTTGTTATGTAGAAAACGGCTGTTTCATTCGGTTCAACCTAATATTTCCATTTAGGGGTCGAGTGGAGAATCCGGAACTTTTTGTAGCCGAACCACAATGAAGGCCAAAACTAACTGATGGTTTGGGGAGTTGAATGGAAACAACGGAAGCAAAGCTCATCTTCTGAACCGTTACAAAACTAAATTGTAAATATAGATTTAGTTTAATCAAATTTTAATCCCATAGAGCTTTTTAGCAGCACTGCTAAAAAGGCATTTTTAGCATTTTTAGCAAAAGGCATTAGCAGTGCTAGCAGGATAGAAAGACAAATAAAGAACCAAGAAAACAGGCAAAAATCGTTGACTCTTGAGACAACTTTGCGATGTGTGGGCGGGCGTTACCTTCAAGGTGATGAACTTTGCCCGAATCAGTCCCCTACTGGCAAAGTGCTAGCAGGATAGAAAGACAAATGAAGAACTAAGAAAACAGGCAAAAATTGAATTTTTTACAAAACAAGACAATTTTGTAAAAAGGCTTACCTAATTCACTTCAATTATTGTTTTTTAATGTTCTACGTTTACGATGCATACTTTCGATCACATCAAATCTGATTACAAATTAACTTTGCATTCTTCTCTATAAAACCACTTCCTAGTCGCTTTTACGAGCTATTTTTGGCTGATTCCCATAATGACATGTGAAGATCTAAGCTGTAATTACGAAATGACTACAGCTTTGAGTAGTCAAATGTTTAGAACATAAATATCTTTTGTCTGATCTTCAAGTTGAGAAATGCAATTTTAACTTGAACTTTCTACTGTAATCATCAATTAAACTGTTTTTCTAAAATCTCATAAACAAATGACTCTTTTGCTCTTTTGATGCCTTCTTTTTGAAAATATTTTCTTCTTCTTCATCAGCAATTATTTTTAGACTTTCATCTGCAATTAGTGGAGTGAAATTCTTGCACTCATTCAGATGATTTCACAAGTTTTTCCATATTTTGAAAGATTATTCGTATTTTTCTAGTAAAACGTGTATCCGAAACTGAAGATTTGATTTCTTTCTGCTGCTTTCTGCTGCTTTCTGCTTTCAAAAACCATCTTGTACTTGTAAAAAACCATATTGGTGACTAATAACTTAAAAGACTTTATCTAATTGTGTTACTTACAGGGTGCGGCAAAAGTTCTGATAGTTTCAGAGATTTTTTCAATAGTTTTTGCATTAGATTCTTGGCCGTAATTCTTGAATAGTAGTGTGCAGGCTAGGCTAAAACCCTAGCCAGGCTAGAACCCCCTTAAACCCATTTTATCTGGATTAAGTCAATCAAAATTTAATACTGAATTGAGTAAATGCCGAAGATTTTATGTAAATGAGAGAGAATTGGTTGAATGCTATATTTGCGAAGATAAAACACTCCAACCTTTTCATATACAGGGTGCGGCAAAAGTTCTGACACTTTTTCTGTAAGCAGTCATTTTTTTTGGCTTCAAAAACCCGTGAATTTCAAAAAACTAAAGCCGAATTCTAAAAACAGCAAATGTCAACTATTCAAAAGTACAAGTGTATATATAGAATTGTAGCCGTTAATCTTGGCTACATTTATATAGTAAAAACCTTCACAACAGGCATATAACTCATTTTCAAGTCTTGGTGAGCACTGGTCGACCACTATTACATTTCTTCGATTTTCTAGTTGTGCAGCTTTCAAAGTACAAGGTTATATATAGAATTGTAGCCGTTAATCTTTCTCTTTCTCGGATTCTAAAAATTTGGGTAGTTTCACCCCAACATAGCCATTTTCATAAAAAGATTTCAACTCTCAATAACTTTTTGACGAGAATTTTTTATATCCCGGTCTGGTCGCTGAAGATTTTTGCGAAAGTTGACTTAAACTTTGCAGAATGAAATTTTTTCCAAAAACTGCTGTTACCATTTGATAGAACTGAGTTTTTTCTTGAAAACAAGCCACAAAAAACTTTATATCTCAAAAACGAAAGATCTTCAAGCGATTCTACGAAGGGCACCCAAATCTCAACCGTAAAAAAAACGGGGGGTAGTCAAAACAGCGCCATAATAGAAAACGTTCAAAACAGCGCCGTCAAATTTCTCAAAATCCAAAAAATCAAGCCGGTTCAAATTTTATACCAAAAAATTCCTTGCTTTCTTGGCTACATGATGGGTAAAACAGTTTTTTAAAAAAGTTAATATTTCATAGATAAAAAGAGCACTCAAAATAGGTCTCTAAAGACATTCAGTTAACCAACTGAGTATCACTCGACACACATTTTGAGTGCTCTTTTTATCTATGAAATATTAACTTTTTAAAAAAACTGTTTTACCCATCATGTAGCCAAGAAAGCAAGGAATTTTTTGGTATAAAATTTGAACCGGCTTGGTTTTTTGGATTTTGAGAAATTTGAAAATATCTGAATTTTTATAATCCGGTGTTAGTTTTTCAAAAATCGCGTTTTTTCCGAGTCAAACTGCCCGTTTACAAAAAGTGTCGGAACTTTTGCCGCACCCTGTAGTTCCACGGTGATCCATCGATCCACATCCATTCGCTTGCACCCGGACCAGTCTAAAGTGTTCGTCCTCGTTTTACCAAAACGTACCAATCTAATTGTGTTACTTAGTTTTTCACCTTACTGTTTTTTTCTCTAGATATCTCTAGATATCAATTTAATATCTTAAAAAGTTCAATTTTAGAATGAAAGGTCATTTCCTTATTTTCTGCTTGGTTCTCTTTTGTTTACTCGTTTTTTCGTCAGCTCAAGAGCGAGATGCTGAAGCCGAGGAACGAGTGCAACGGTTCTTCTCAAAGTTGAGACCAATGGGAATGCAGGTGGGTCCAGAATTTTGAGATAAAAACTAGTTCTACTATATTAATGAAACGGGTAAGGTACTATTGGAAAATACAAGCAATCTTTGAAACAAGCAATCTTTGAAACAAGCAATCTTTGAAATTCAGCGAACTTTAACAATTTGATACATCTTAGGAATTCCGATATCCGATGTTTGGTGATGGAAACTCTCGCAATCTCAAGTATTGGACATCGTTGAGAAGATACAATTGATAAACAAATGATTTTTCTTTTCTTTTAATAAATTTGTGAATGTGTCGGAATATAAATAATACCTAGAAAGTCAAAAGTGCAATAAAGATTTGATAAAGGAGAGTTCTCACATTAATGCATTTAAAAATTACCGTAATACTTCTAATAGTAGCGCCTCCTATAAAGACGGCGGGGAGTGTTGCGTAGTCTATCTTTGAACGCGTTTTTCTTGACACTGGTTTATGCTACAATGCGCGCTTAGGTATCAAAAAATAAATGAAATTCAGGGCTATTTTTTGATACCAAAGACGCATTTTTTGAAAGTACGGGCGCTTTGAAAAAAATGCAATACTAAAAAACTTTTGCGTGAAAAAATAAAGAATTACAGCTAAATTTAAGGGGAAAATTGACCCCAGAAATTTGGGCATAGTGACGCCTAAAGCAGTCAATAAAAAATGATTTAAACGCAAAATTCCATAAAAATAAACATATCAAAAATTCGGTAGAAATGAAAATATCCCTATGATGAACAGAAAAGTCCAAATCTTCAACCAAGACGCATCTTACAATTAGCTTGATCATTGCTTTTATTGATTATCTTGATCCACTCAACCACTTGGCCACCGATAAATGGTTTTTTCTGAAAAAAACGGCTTAGAAGGAGGGCCGAAACATTTATGCCTATTTGGCGGTAATTACCCGCCATTCGGCGGCTAATTGTTGCGTCATTGGGATCGGCATTAGGTTCTGCGTCGGATGGTCGCCGAGGGGGTCCGCTACTACACCCACAACATGCCCCCATCTCATCAACCGTGTGAAGCCGATTTCGCGCAGAAACTTTGCCGAGTTTCACAAGGTGAGTTACCAGTTGCCGATTTCTTTTAGCTAGGCTTCTAGGTCCAAGTCTGGGCTAGGCTACAGACTTGAGCCTGAGCCGCCTTACTGTCCCACTTATCCGCCTCACTTACCGCCCCAATTCCCCACTCCAGTTAACGCCCCAATTCCTCCAACCATCCTTTCCTCATCAGTCATACACCGTTCCTTCCTTTTATGGATTCTAAAAGCAAAGCTCTTATGCCAAAGTAGTTTGCCAAATGGAGAGCGATTGTGCGCACACAAAGAACATCTCCACTCAAAGTTTCAATTACGTGCTCTTGGAGATAAACGCAAAACTCGAAATATGAATGTCAGGCGATGAAACACTTGGGATTTCGAGATGAAAGAGAATCTCTTTCTATGAAAACCTGTCCCATTGAGAGAAGAATCATCTCACTCTTGTCATCTCCCGGATTGTTCCTCATCTCTTGCCTCTTTTCTTTCACCTATTCCGTATCTTTTTCCTTTTACCACAGCCTGTTTCTTGTCAATGAATAGAAACATTAAAGAATTTGGCATCGGCTGGAAGAAATGGTAACTGGGCTTGGCTGACTGAAGCAGAACTGCTCTAGTTAATCTGCGTTGCATCACTAGAACAATTTTTGTTGTAATCTTAAGTTATCAGATGTAAGAATTGGGGTTTACGAGTTTTGTTTAGTCAAAACTATTATTGTTAGTTGCTGTTTAGTCAAAACTAAACTATTATACCTACTGGTTTTCTATTTTATTTTGAATTCATGTTAACTTTGTCAATTTCAAGTTCAGTTCAAACTCATTTTCAGTCATCTTTCAAACTCCCAACTTGTAAACATTTATAGTTCTAAACCTTTTGAATAGATCAAGAAGAGAAATCGATCAACCAAAATGGACTTTATCAACCAAAAGATCAACCTAAAATCAAAAAGCTTTCAATCTATTCGACCAAGATTTCTTTTGCTTTCTAAAACCGACTTTGTAAGGTATACTGTATAAAGTTCAGTAACTTTAAGATCAAAAAAACTGGCAGAAAGCACAAAATGGTGACTAGACTTGACTAAAACTATTAGGCTATTCACGACGGCGGTATTTCGCGTAGTCGTAGTCGCGTAGTCGCGTAGTCGTTAACTGTTCTACTAATAATTTGATGAAAACTCAAAGATAAACTAAACTATTATAGTCATTTGATAGCCTTGAATCTTCTCTTGAAACCTAGTAGAAAGTTATCGAGAAATTTCTGCAAAATAAAGAACAAAAGTCGTTTAAACCTTGAGTTCACATTGAAAATAATCGTCATTATCACGACCCACCGGTGAACCATATTGTCTTGAATGTATTAAGCCAATAAAATCCTCATCTTAGACTAATTTCAGCCTTTCTTCAATTTTGTTTATGCTAAAACTTCCTTACTTACTCATATTTTCTGGCAGAATTTCTATTTTTCATTCTTAATTCAAGGCAAAAGATCAAAAGAAGAGGAAAGAAAATGGCGTTTGATATTCCCTTTTCACTGACCCAGATCCATCTCCTTCTTTCTTTCCTAAGATTGACTTCATGAGGTGGAAAAGAGACGCGATGAAAAGGGATTTCAATGCTCTGATCTCCTTTTTCATGAGCCTGAAACGTGAAAAGGTGAGATTTTTGTGTGGGTGAGCCTTCCGGGGAAATCGTTCAACAAAGGCTCAATTGATTCTCAAGGAAAGATCATTTCATTGTTTTCGATATTGGATTCATTTTCTTGTGCTGATATTGTATCGACGATATAAAATCTAAAAATCTTTATTTAAATTCGTTTTATTGATTTTATTATTAGCAATGTTTGATACTTTTAATCACTTTTTCTGAAATTAATGCTTCTAGAGTTTTCTGCAAAATAAAACTGATTCTATTAACCGTTGCTTTAAGATCTTCACAATATGCCACAATATGCTTAGCTTTGCTTGGCTTAGCTTTGCTTGGCTTAGCTTTGCTTGGCTTAGCTTTGCTTGGCTTAGCTTTGCTTGGCTTAGCTTTGCTTGGCTTAGCTTTGCTTGGCTTAGCTTTGCTTGGCTTAGCTTTGCTTGGCTTAGCTTTGCTTGGCTTAGCTTTGCTTGGCTTAGCTTTGCTTGGCTTAGCTTTAAGCCTACGCAATTTCTTTGGTGGATTTATGGATATCCAAAACAGCTTTTGCTTTTACAATAACTTTATGGCTTATCTATGGCCTTGAGAACTAACCAGCCTGACTCAAAGCAAAGATTTGGTTTTAGCTTTAACGGCGACATTGCCAATTTCCTAAAGCTCTAGTTTTATAGCAACTACAGCAAGAAAAATATTCAGCCAATCCATTGCAAAGTTTTAAATTCTAGTTTTAAAGCTAAAAATTCCACCAGAATACTTCTACAATTGTTCCAAAAAGCCTTACATTTCCTTGATTAATAACTGGTACCGTGCACTGGTGGCCAAGCAAGTTCTTCTGCTTTATTTGCATCCAAAGTTGAACACATCAGATCCTTGACGAATTGGGCTAGAAATATAGCCATGATTTTGCTATTGTTTACTAGGCAAACGCTTTATCAATTACTGAAATCAATGCCCAATATCATCAGGATCGACTCTTCTGCCTTACATCAAAGGTCAACTCAAAGATGAAATCTTTGAGTTCGGCTTTTTTGTAACTTTTCTGTATGTACATGATGTCATCTCTCGTTTGTTTCTCCTTTGTTGTACCTCATTTTTCTAGGTGTCAAACGCTTGAAAAAACCTTTCGCATTCTTTTGAGTGCACCTCTTTTTGATCGTCAAATAGCCGTCGAGGGGTGAACCGGACTCCGTCTGCCCCCTTCTCCTCTTCTGTTCACCTCTTTTCCAAAGATCCCACTCAGCTCGAAGTCTCACCTCAAAGCCAAGAACAAAATCAAACTCTCTTGGAGACTCTTCTTTTCCTCTTTTTCTTCATTTCCCACTTTCCTCTGAACGTGATCGGGAATTTCTGCTTTTCTTCCACAAACCGTCTGTCGTTTTATCGACTTCTAGATTGGCAATGTGTCAAAGCTATGGATGATTTGGATTGATTTCCTTGTTCTGTTACTTCGCAGCTTCCTACCATCTTCAACTTATTGTCATTCTCCTTACTGCATGTGTTTCTGTATCTTCATTAATCATTCCCCATTACCCAAATGTTCAAAAAAACTTTAAGACTTGATTTAATAAATCTTTAGACCCTTAGAAAGTGAACTCGTTAAAGAATCAAAAGCTCCTGATGATTGGACAAGAGATAAAATGTTCAAATCCTTTAATTATCTCTGATCAACAACTTTTATTGCTGAAATTTCTCAGTAAACTTCTTTTCGGTCTACAAACTGTCTCATTAAATTATTTAAATGTTCGTAAAACTCAACGATCTCTCAAACAAACAAGATTTGAGCATTTTGATTTCTCTAGAAACATTTCTAGATCAAATCCCATTTGGCCGGATTGATAAAGGTGGAATCTGACACCAGAAGGCGATGAAATGGTTGAACTCCTTTCTTTTCATTTCTTTCTTTTCTTATACTTGTTACTCGTTTTCTCCTCGTCACGCTCGGCGATGAGACTGAACTTTGTAAAAGGAAGAAGGAAGAAAAGGAGGAGAAAACCTTTTGACCCAGTTTCCCCTCTCTTCTCAAGTCGATCCTTTGAACTAACAGATGCGCTTTATCTGTTTTTGTCAAAATATTTTAAGAAATTGAACTAATCGTTATTTTTTATTAACCAATTTTATTAGCCTTCCATGCAGTCTATCTTTTTCCTTCTTTTTAAAGTTCCTGAAGTTCTCTTTAAAGTTTTCCTTTCAGGACGATGTCCTCGTCCTCACCATTCTCACCCCTACAAAACTATGGGAAACTTCTCGAAGATGGTATGGTTAGACTCTTTTATAAGTGAGTTTTGATTGGAATATGATTGGATAATGGTTTTAAAATATTATAGATCTCAATGAGATTAAGAATTTGAATGAGAAAATGATAAACCCTGGGCCCAGGTCTACCAAACTATTTACCATTTAACATCTAGCAATTTTGCTAAAAGGATTTAGCAGTTTAGCATTTACCAATTTAGCATTTAGCAATTCAGATCCAAATTGAATTAGATCCGGTCAGATCCGATCAGAACCGACCAGATTCGAATTGAATCAAATTGAGCATTTGGCATTTACCAACTAGCAGTTTGCTAAACGGATTTAGCAGTTTAGCATTTACCAATTTATCATTTAGCAATTCAGGTCCGAATTGAACCAGATCCAAATTGAACCAGATCCAAATTGAACCAGATCCAAATTGAACCAGATCCAAATTGAACCAGATCCGAATTGAATCAGATCCAAATCGAATTAGATCCGAATTGAATCAAATTGAGCATTTGGCATTGACCGATTTACTTACTAGCAATTTTGCTAAACGGATTTAGCAGTTTAGCATTTACCAATTTAGCATTTAGCAATTCAGATCCGAATTAAATCAGATCCAAATTGAACCAGATCCGATCAGAAAAGATCAGATCCGAATTATTAGGTTGTCCAGTTATGAATGCGCGCCTGCTCTTGAACAGCTTACCTTAGGGCTATACAATTTTATCAAACCCTATTCTCTATATGTTGTTCAAGATTTCTTATTTATTACAACTTTTCGTGTTTTTGACGTTATAATAATTCATTTTTGATTTAATTTCCGTGTTTAAATGACCGAGACGAAGTTTCGTCATCGTGCCAGTCTTTGTTATGACTTCAAATTGGGCAAAAATGCCGTTGAATCCCATCGAGATCTCTGCAAAGTATTTGGCGAAGATGCTATTTCGGTCGCCGATGGTTTCAACGATTTCGAGAAGGAAATGAATCTTTGGAAGACGAAGACCACCAACGACGACCTCCTGCGATCGATAATGCACTACTGAAGCAGGCGATAGAAATGGATCCTCGACAAACGACGCATGAACTTGCAGAAATATTTAGAGTAAGCCCTCAAACCATTTCCGAGCATTTAAATCAATTGGGGAAAACAAGCCGACAAGGGAAATGGGTCCTCATCTTCTCAGCAATGCCAATAAAGCTACTCGTGTCACTATGGCGGGTATTCTTCTTCGTTTGCCAAAAAAAAATACTGGGTTTTACGATGAAATCCTTACTTGCGATGAAAAATGGATTCAATATGATAATTCTACACGAAAACGGCAAAGGCTAGAACCTGGTGTGGAGCCAATACCAACACCAAAACCCGACTTCCTTGACAAGAAAGTAATGCCTACTGTCTGGTGGAATTCCCAAGGCATTGGGTATTTTGAGCTGCTTAAACCTGGGCAAACAATCACGGGTGAAACGTATGCACAACAATTGGAACGAGTGAACAATGTATTGCTACAAAAAGGCCTTGATCCTTCAAACATAAAGTTCATTCAAGATAACGCCCGTCCACACGTTGCAAAGATTGTTCAGGAAAAACTCGAAGAGTTGGGCTGGGAAACTCTCCCGCATCCGCCATATTCTCCGGATATTTCTCCTTCGGATTACCATTTATTTCGCTCAATGCGAAGCCACTTGGCCGGAAACAAGTTCAAAGAAGTTCAAGAGGTCGAAAAATGGATAGCCGACTTCTTTGCCTCAAAACAAGCCAATTTTTACGCGGAGGGAATTCATTCTTTGCATGGAAGATGGAAACAAATAATGTTAACAAATGGTGAATATATTGTTGATTGAGCTGTTAAACTGTTGGTTTTGAAATAAAGAGTTGTTATCTTAAAAACGCGCATTTATAACTGGACAACCTAATAAATCAAATTTAGCATTTAGCATTTGGCAACTTTGCTAAATGCTAAACGCTAAGTGCTAAATCCCAAAACTCAATTTTGCTAAATTTAGCAAAATTGAGTTTTGTTTCTTGTAGCCTGAATATACTGATGCTGTCACATAAAGCTATATTCAGTCATCAAAAAAAAGCAAACATCGTTTGGCGCTAAATTTAGCAAAATTTTGCTAAATGCTTTGATGGACTTGTTGAATTTTGCAAAACGGAAGTTTACTAAATTTAGCAAAACTCGAGGTCCACCAAAAAATTTGTTAGACCCAAAAATTTGCTGATTTCAGCAGTTGGTGGATCCGGGTCCAGGCCAAGCCAAAGTCAAAACACTTTTTAATTTTTACTCGGCTTTATTTTGAAGTTAGCCTGGTTTGGCCGTAGCTTTAATGGCTTTGAAAAATCACATCGTGTCCAAGGTTTGACTTTTCGGTTTTAGCTAGCTAAATTCCGATCACTCTCCGTGACTTTAGCTTAACTTTGGCTTGCTTTAGTCTAGCTAACCATATTTTCTGACTTTTTGGAATAGTCTTAGCCATATGCACTCTTTCCAGCTATGGTCTTCTCGTTGGCAAGTACCCAAAGCGCTTTCTCTGGGGATCAATCGTAAGTTTTTGAAATGAATAGGCAATACAGGGCGGATAATTTAAAACATAATCTATCCAATCTTCAGATTTTCACATTGATGTGCGCTCCTGGATTGTTGAAGTTGGATGTGAATCTCGATTTGTACCGCCTCTTTGTACCCACCGATGCCCCAGTGAGAATCGAGTTTGAGAGGCAAAAGGTGGAAAAAAAGAAAATAGACTGCAAATATTTTCATTGTCATATGATTGCAGGAGTTCAACGCAATCCCCTTGGGAGATTTTAATGAACCAGCGAAAACGAATCGTGTGAAACGACACGTGGACAAAGAATGGTCATGGGATTTGGACAATTTTGATTTCAATCCGGGGACGGTGAGAAAAAGTGAGTAAATTATAGAGATATAGGATTCATAATTATAACTAGCTTCATAACTAGCTTCATAACTAGCTTTTTAAGTTAGTCTGAAATATGTACGGCAGTCTAGATAGCAACCTATGTCAGTGTTCAGTTCACATTTCCCCTTTTAGTCCCAGTTTATGCCAAAGAAACAATTCGTTAGTGCAGAATTGTTAAGGACTATTCTGTGTCTCTTACTGTATGTGTCTCTTACTGTATCTATTACTTGTATTTTTCATTTCTGTAATTCTCCGCTCATAGCGGAGCTGTATTTAAAGGATCAGGTAAGATAAATACAGGGTTTTCAATAACCCGGACTCGGTATTTTAAGTGTAATTGTGTAATCAAATAATAAACATGCAACGTAATCCAATCTGATCCACGGCCCGACCCTGTCCAACATCAGACTGGACTGGCTGACGGGGTTGAGCTGAATGGACTGAAAGGACTTTATTTCAGTTCAATGGCTGATCGGACTAAGGAATTGATGAACTGACCCATGTCTACTAAACAGTACATGATTCTGTTTTAACTATAAAATCTCAATTAGCATGATTAACTCATTGTCAATCCAGTTTAGTCCAACCCAGTCTAGCCCAGTATACAGAGACTCAATAATTACCTGGACTCGGTATTAAGTGTAACTCAGCACTCAGTTTTGCAATCGTCTCACGCTTTGTTTTAATAGAAAATTTAAATATTTTTCTACAGTAGATTTTTAGGTTTGACGAAAAAACTTTTTCTGGCTTTTTTTTATAGAACCTCAAAGTTGGCAGTCAGGAGTTGCTTGGCGCGGTACTTGCTTTGGCGGCTTTCAAGAAAATGCCAAAGATTGAGCATTTCTTTGTACGCTTTTGTTTTGCAATACATTTTAAACATTATCAAACGAATCGGAGGGTAACGTATTCAATTAGGCAAAATTTTGCTATTTTGGGAATCTTGGCTTCACATGGGCGTTGGCTCGTCGAAAGATGACCCTGCAAACCGAAATTTTTCATTTTTCAGTTTCGGTTAAATGTGAATCTTTGGTCTTTAGATAAATGTAACCTAATAAAACCAAATTTAACGCGGAAACGTTCATGACCACCAAAACTTTTATTAAATTCTCCAAAAACAAGCGCCAAGCAACTTCTGACTGCCAACTTTGAAGTTCTATAAAAAAAGGCAGAAAAAGTTTTTTCGTTAAACCTATTCACAGCATCATTTTAAACATTGAAGATCTTAAATTTATGCATTGTTTTGCTACAAACGTTGGAAACTCAGTTTGCTATTACAGTTAACCAATTTAGTGTAAAAGTATCATAATCAGATCAAGGTCAAAAGCTCTTCAAAGTTTTCGGCAATGCAAAGATCTTATATTTTGACATTCGAATACCCGCCAAATTTATTAGAGAGAATAGATCGAATTTTTATTGATATAGAATAGAGATTAGGATTTTAAAGAGCATCATATTCATCAAAATTCAAGTTCAAAAGCAGCTATTCAAAAGCAGCTTTTCAAAAGTAAAAGCTTTACAATCCATACCTTTTCAGCCGCTAAGCGCCTACAACGAGCCCTCGATTTCTCCGATTTCGACAAGCTACACAAATTGAACTTCACCACGCCAAACTCCGAGCGATCACGGCGCGAGATTCAACAAGATCCGGCAAAAAGTAAAATGAATGCGGCCAAGAAGGAGAAGAGAGCCCAAGCACACAATGATCGGCGTGGTGAATGAGTTTGCATGGCTTTTCTTATGTTTAGTGACTCAATTGATGATTTCTTCTGTTTATTGTGGAGTAGCTAAGCTTGAGATCTTTTAGTTTTTAAACACTGAACTGCACCAATTCTTTTTCAATCTATCAACAAAAACCCTGATTTTAAACACTACCTTGCATGAGCTTTGAAGACTCCAATAGATTTTTATCATTTAAAAATTTAGTCTATGGCTTGAAACACGACATTCTTCGGTTTTACGTGGTGCACAAGGATTTCGACAATTTGCTACAATCAAAATACTTGGGATTGTTGTGGAAGTACACGAATGAAATGATGGAGACTACGGTAAGTGAGGAAGAGCCATTGACGTTGAAATCGATCAATCAAATTGAAACTGAAACAAATCAAAATTGATAGAAAAATTGGTGCAATTGGAACAATTGATCTGAGTCGGTAAGCTCGAAATCTTTGTCTCCTTTTTGCTTTTAATAGCTTAAAATTGTAACCAAGTAGAGAATGACCTTCAGAGAGAAAAAAATATGTTTTTCGAGACGTTTTCATGTTAAATTTGAATTTCTGTCGCAAATTTTAAACGTTAATTTTCGCGCAACGTTGCATTCCAATTGACGTCGCCGCCATTTGAAGGTAGTCGATGGGAGTGCCACGTCGTCGTTTCTTTTTCGTTTTCAAATCATTTTTTTTGTAAAATTGATTGAAAGTATTGTTTTACGCGATAAATTTTGTGTTTCTCTTTGAAATTTGAAAGAAATCTATTTCCATTTGGGAACCGAGTGGAGAATCCGGAACTTTTCGTAGCCGGACCACAATGAAAGCCAAAACTAATTGTAAGATGGTTTGCGGAGTTGAATGGAAACAACAAAAGCAAGTCTCATCCCCAGGACCGTTGCAAGGCTACCACTTTAAACTATATCGCATCCAAAAACCTTAGCAATCACTTTTTTTTGGGACTATGACAATGCTGCACACGTTGAAAAACGTCTTTTGCACACAACAGGCCCCACAAAGTTCAGGCGCCAAAAGTTGCACCAAATGGCCTACATTGCTTCGATTAAGCCCAAATTTTTACAGCATCTTGCGCTCGCCTATGTCCATCTATTGTAAAAATTTCAGCTTCATAACTTCATTACAAAAAATTGTGAAGCCATTGTTGGCTTTGTGCGCAAAGGGCGTCTTTTTTCCGTCTGTTGCCCACAAAAAATTCAAGTCACTTCGAATTTTTTGTTGGGCAGCTATCAAGCTGAAATTTTTAGAGTAGATGGACATAAGCTAGAGCGACATGCTGTAAAAATTTAGGCTCCATCGAAGCAATGTAGACCAACGCTGTTGGTCCAACCAACTAATGTTGGTGCAACTTTTAGCGCCTGAAGTTTGTGGGCCTGTTGTGTACAAAAGGCGTTTTTCCACGTGTGGGCAAGTGTCGTTGCGGTATTATCATAGTCCCCTTTTTTTATCTTCAAAAGATATTGCTTCAAAAAATTTACTTCTTTACCAACTTTTTAAAGCAGTATTGAACTAAAACTTAGACAAGTCACTCAAATTCAATTTTTAGGCAGTCGACGATGGAATCAAATGGGAGCTAGAGGATTTCTGCAGAAAAGATGCCAAGGAAACGGTAAAATTTTATCTAATCATCTAAATATTTTCTAATGATTAGTTTTTGTTAAATTAAAATGTTCCAGAAATGCAACAACAATCTCAACGTTTGGCTGAAACACGCTGATGTGCTCTTCAAAGATGGAAAGATTCGAAACAACCCAAATCTTCAGCTATCCTATCCGGTCATGTATCTCTTCAATCGACCAAAAGATATTGGAAATGTAAATATTTTCATAATTATTAATAATTTAAACTTATTTAGGTAATCTATGGAGTTGATGTGGTCGGAGAGAAAAACGAAATCATCGGAGCTCGAGTCTTGACCGTTCACTGGTTCATCACATTTCCCAAATCACCGAAATTCAACAATGTAAGACCTTGAGAAAAGCTTTGTAAGGTTCTATTTTAAAATAATTCTTTTCTTTTGGATTTCAATTTTAAGCTCAATTTTCCAGGCTTACATGACTTTCCGTGAAAAGTTGAACAAGTTTTGGGAGTCGAAACAAGAGGAAAGCGGTCTCACCTTTATTCCACACAAGTGAGTTTTACAATTTAGTTTTTTTGGAGCTAGTCAAACCATCCTTGAGCCATGAGTTTGAGTTTAACGACTTACTGTTTAGCGAACGAGCCATGGATGACGAGATGTTGAAAATCATCTGGACAGTCGTCCCATTTGCTCTCCCGTCAATCCTCTTTCTCACACTTTTCGTCATTTTCTCTAATTGGAGTAGAAAGAAGGAGAAGTGAGTGTCATACTTGTAATAAATCAATGAAATTATCCTCAAGTTTCATTGAAGTCTCAAACTTAAAAGCTGTAATAATCACTCGAGGGACTTTTGAACAAAAATAATGCTTTTTCATTTTCAGAAACAAGCCCGTTGAGATGTGGATGGGAGTAATTGCCGTTTGTTTGGCCCTCATTCAAACTTTTGGTATTTTCTTCCTTTGTGGGATCAAATTCAACCCGGTCACCTCAACAATGCCGTTCCTTGTTTTGGCTATCGGTAAGTAGTGCCGTTGGCAAAATGCGTTTTTCTCAGCTTTCCCTAAACCAATTCTAAAACTTTTAGCATCATTCGATAGGAAAAAAAATTAGCTATCGATGGTACCAAATATGCCAAATTGAAAAAAGTAACGAAAGACAAAGTTGGTCAAACTTTTGGTCTGGGGTTTGGACACTTTTGGTACCATTTGCTAGCTAATTTTTTTCCTATCAAATGATACTAAAAGTTTTAGAATTGGTTTAGGGAAAGCTGAGAAAAGCGCATTTTGCCAACGGCAAAACGGCGAATTGGTCGGATCGAAAAAATGATAAAAATCGGTTTTTTTTGTTGCCACTTTTTAATCATTTTTTTTAAGCGCTGGTTATTGATAAAAGTTATGTGTCAAAAAAAAATTGCTCATTCTCTCTACTTTAATTTGATACCCAAGCCCGCAGAAACAAACGTACTGGTGTCGAGATATTAGCTTTTGTTTGAGAGTAAACTTAGACTATGCGACGCTCCTATAGGAAACTTCTATTAGAGTATTTACGGCAATGTTTTTTCAAAAGCATTAAACCAAAGAGTTAAACATTTGAATAGCTTTCTTAAACTTTCTTGCTAACCATAGAACGTGCGTGAAACGTTTTAAACATTAAAAGAAAAGCAATTCAGGTGTCGACGACGATTTCCTGATGATGGGCGCTTGGAGAGAGCTAGACCCGAAGCTTTCAGTGAGTAAACGGAATAAATAAAGTTAAATAGCAAACTTAGTTATTTTCTTAGTTATAGCTATCAAGTTATTTTCAATACTGAGAATGCCTTTCAATCCAAAACCTTTAAAATTAGGTCCGTCGCCGGATAGCTTTGGTGATGGCCGATGCGGGCGCCTCTATCACTGTCACCTCGTTCACAAACTTTTTCTGCTTTGGTAAGTGAAAGATTTAAACAGTGAACAAGCTTCACAACAGCTATTTTATTGTTTGCAAACTTTCCAGCAACTTTATTTCAGCGTTAGCACAAATTCCTTTCAGCTCTCGGTTACTTCCTTTGCTCGACGCCAGCTGTCGCCGAATTCTGCTTAATCACCGCTGCTGGCGTTCTCCTTGACTACATCATGCAGGTAAAGCTGATTAGTTATCTTATAGTTATTTAAATTCTTTCAGATCACTTTCTACGCAGCAATCATTGCGCTTTCTGGTCAAAATGAGAAAAATGGAGGCCTATCTGCGTGTTACTACAAGAACTGCCAGTGTTGCCTCGGATGCATCATGGAGAAAGATGAGGGAACAGTGAGTAATCAGATAATAAAAAATACTTAAAAGTTAGATTTTGCTACATTTTTAAAATCATAATGCCTTTTCTAGGTTGCCCGACAAGAAGAAGAGGTTCGAGAGGATTCAATCGACTCGGACGAAATCGATCCCAATCATCACGGAAAGTCAACAAGCAGTGAGTTATTTTTTTTCGATTTTTTTCGAGATAAAAATAGCGCTGTTCGAAAATATATATTTCTGGTCGGAAATGTAGATTTTACAAATCTATCGTAAATACTGTAATATTACCCCACCCCTTCGTACAGTCGCGTAGTCGCAAAAGTTTCGTTTTTTTTTCGAAGCGCCCGTACTTTCAAAAAATGCGTTTTCGGATCAAAAAGTAGCCCTGAATTTCAGCTATTTTTTTAATACCTAAGCGTGCATTGTAGCATAAACCAGTGTCTTGAAAAACGCGTTCAAAGCTAGACTACGCAACACTCCGCATCCCCATAATGACGGTGATATGACCCGGGTCAGATACGATTACAGCATTTACGGTATCAAATCCACCAATGCCTTTCAGTTCCCTACATGCACCGATGGTTCCGTGATGTCTATTCGCCGTGGATTCTCCGCGCCGATGTCAAAATTGTTTCATGGCTCTTATTTGTTGCTTATGTAATTGGCAGCTTGTATGGATGTTGTATATTAAAGGTATTTTAGCTTAAATTTCAACTTTAACAACTATTTTAGGTTGACATCTCTCCAGTGAAGTACATCAGAGACAACTCGCCGATTCAGACTTTCGTCAAACTTGCAGGTGCTTTTGAAGGGATTTGATCAAATGGACCTCTTTCCTGGATCTAACTAATGATCTAATCTAAATATTTTCAGACAAATACATCTGGGCCGACAATGTGATGCCATCATTCCACGTGATGAACCCTCCCGATTTGCGAGACTCTGGCCAACGAGCCAAGTTCAATGAGATGGTCTTCCGCCTAGAGCACACAAATTTCTCAATTGGAAGAGTAAGTACAAGCTATAATGTAAGCGACAATAAGTACCATTTTGACCGATAGATCTTGAAAAAATAGTATCATTTGAGCTTTGACCGAGGTTTTGTAGCTTTTAAATTGATCAAACTCGTTTGCTTCAAATGTGTTCTCGTCTTTTCAATTGGAAAAGTGCATACTAGAGTTGTTCGTGTGTGTAAATTTTGCTTAAAAATAGAAACACACCTTTTCTGGCGCACTAGATTCTACCCTTTCTGGTGATTTTAGGAAACCGACTGTGTCAAAAGAGTGCGTTTACGTTTTTTGAACAAAAAAAGTTATCCAAAAGACATGTTTGTGTAGACGAAATGGAACCAAAAATGCATAAGGAAAATAAAAGCTTAAAAACTTATTGTATTTCATAAAAATCTATTCCGATCCATTCCAGGTATCCACGAATCTCTGGATTTGGCAATACCAGAACTTCCTCAACGATTTCCCCAATCTTGACTATTCGAAAGATTTCTACAACAAAGAATATATGAGAGATTTCTTTAATCAAATGGATTATCAACAATATCGAGGTGAAATCTTTGTCCTATTTTAAACAGAGCATTTTTTAGACAAGGTCAAAATCCTGCCAAATATCAGCGCCGGTGAGCCGTGCCTGGCCGCGTTCTCTTTCCAGGTACTATAGCTTACTGTAGTTAGTAAATATACAGCTTTAGGTAGTAAATATACCTATCACGTACTCAAAGGCTATTTTTTACAATTTAGACCTCATTCTACGGATTAAACTCCTGGGATCTGAGACAAGCCGAGCTCTTCCACTGGCGTGATATCATTGCTGAATACCCCGAGTTTGACATGTTCTTGGCCGGGATTTTCAGGTAAGCCTCATTAGATCCATAAGTTTATCAAATTCTTCAACGCTTCCACTTTTCAACTCTCAAATTTCTTTTTTTCAGTCCTTTCCTGATCGATCAACGAAGAACGATCGCTCCGTCAACAATGCAGACTGTTGGTTGTGCCCTTTTGGTGATGTCACTCATTTCATTCTTTTTCTTGCCAGATGCGGTTAGTTTTGGGAATTCTAAGCTTAATTTTCTTACGCTAAGATCCAGAATTCTACGAAAAATTTCAGCAATCAGTCTTCTTGATGACATGGTCATTGTTGTCAATTTCAATGGGTGTTTGTGGAGGACTCGCTTTGCTTGGCTCAGATTTAGACTCTGGTGGGTTCAGCTATCAAAAGTGACTAGCTTATTCTAAATACAATTCTAACAATATTCTTATTTAGTATCAATGGGTTGCATCGTGATGGCTATTGGACTGGCTGTCGACTACTCGATTCACATTTGCTATCGATACCATCGATCAGAGGAGAGGAGAGCAAATGACAAGGTGAAATGAAGATAAAATGATTATAACTGCAAGGTGATCTTAATAGTTTCATTGTTAATAAGGTCAACATGCACTTTATCCAAAGTAATCAGGATTCAGGTAGTTTAACGGAATTAAGGAGGGAACTCTTTATGAGCCTCTTTACTAATGGTGCGGATTGGGTCTAGCCTGATGATGCGGTTCGTTAGACTATGTAGATCCGTCCAAGATTTAAATTTGAATCCACGATTTCCTAATACAGTTATCTAGTCTAGCGCCTGATCCAAAGAAGTAGCATTGTACCAGCTTAATAAATCAAGTGTTGGAAGTATTGAAAATAAAAGTATCGAATGCTGGTGCCAAATCTATGGGAATGGGTATTTGAGTATTGAATTAGGTTCAAGGATCTAGTGGACTGACCTAATGGTATTCTATTGGTCTTTGATAGAATAATTACAATATTTGAAATTTTTCTTTTAGGTGAAAGACACTCTCACCTCCGTGGGCTGGCCAGTGTGTCAAGCAGTCGGCTCAACCCTTTCAGCCACAATTGTTCTCGTATTTGTGCCCGCTTATCTTATTCGAGTATTTTTCCAAACAGTCTACCTAGTTTGTATCATTGGTCTTGCTCACTCACTTGTCCTTCTTCCACAATTGATTTCAATGCTTGACCCATGTGAACGAGTTCCGTTAAGATTGAGAGCTCACGAGAGCAAACAATAAGTCTCGGTTCTGTTTTCCAAAGAGTTTCCCAAAAGTTTTTTTTGCTTCGTTTTTTTTTGTGCATCAGCCTAGCGTGCAAGCGGGTATTTTCTTGCAGTTTATATGTTAAATTATTCAAATTTTGAATGTTAATAAATATTTGATAGATAAAGTTTAATAACAGCTCTTAGACTTTCAAAATGAATCAAATTGGTCTTTGTCTTCTTGTTTGAACACTGATCGAATGGAAAATTGTCTTTTGCTGAACTTTAAATTTCCATTCAGCTGAAGAGAACTTGTGGTTGGTAAGAAAATTTTTATATAGTTTATATGTCGTAGCCGATTATGAATGAGTGGGTCTAGGAGCGTCCAACCACCAAGTATTTGGTATCATTCAACGCAGAATCATTGATAATTATGTTAAATTTTTAAAATTAGCAAGATTTGATAAAAAGAACACAAATTATGGGGCTTCAAAGTTTTCTCTTGAACAAACAGTTTTTTTGCTCTAATTTTTTTTCTTTTCATCAAATCTTGCTAATTTTAAAAATTTAATATAATTATCAATGATTCTGCGTTGAATGATACTAAATACTTGATGGTTGGACGCTCCTAGACCCACTCATTCATAATCGGCTACAGGGGTCCGCCGATTTTGAATGAAACGTTGTAGCGCCGGCAATTTTTAACCTAAACTCACAAATTTGGTACCAATCGACGCAGAATTCAATTCGCTACAAGATGATATAATATTGTCCTCATACATTAAAGGGTTGCTCTACTAGAAAGATTTGCCAAAAAATTTCATTCATAATCGGCTACGACATATAGAAAGCTAACAATTTCATCATTTTTTCGAATCCTTTCCAGATATTCTTCGGACTGAAACGTAGATCTTGTTCTAAATGTTGCAGATCTACCGTTGATTGGGAGATGGAGGGTAAGTGTTGATGACTAAACCGCAATGCTGCTTCTTGATGGCAAATTATAATTGTTAAATGTAACCAAATTGTTACCAATATGAAATCTCAAGTATTACAAATCAATCTTTTCAGCAAACTATGGCTCCGGATGATACGTTCTATTGGTTGGATAGAATGCCTTGGAACTACACAACTTGGGCCAATGATGCACCCATTAATCAACAACAATGTGTTCAGATAGCCAGTTTAGCTATGTAAAATAGCTTTTTTTTAATTTACAGCATCCGATATTAAAATAACCAGAGTAAAACCAAAAACTAGGACTTTACAGTATCTTTGTCGAGGCAGATGAGTGACTTGGAAATTCTTTAACAAATTTTTCAAAAACTAAGGATATTTTTTGAACAATTTAGATTTACATTGATTCAAGTTCGATTTCTCCGAAATACTGGCAAAAATGGACAGATGTCGATTGTCATAAAATTTTCCGAACCGTACTCCGTAAACAACACTAAAAACCGTGTTGAAATTTATGCTCAATAAAGGGTTTTTCTTACTTAAAATGGCTATACTCAAAGTCTACCAGAAAACATACCGTAAATACTGTGATAGTACCCCACCCGCATAATGACGGTGCGGAGTGTTGCGTCTAGTCTAGCTTTGAACGCGTTTTTCTCAACACTGGTTTATGCTACAGTGTGCACTTAAGTATCAAATGAAAGCTGAAATTCAGGGCTATTTTTTGATACCAAAGACACATTTTTTGAAAGTACGGGCGCTTTGAAAAAAATGAAATACTAAAAAAAATTTTGCGACTACGCGACTGTACGAGAGGGGTGGGGTACTATTATAGTATTTACGGTAATAATATGTTAAGAAACAACGTTTGATATAACGAACTTCGATACAACGAATACTTCGATATAACAATGTCTTTTTACTCCTTTGTGGGATTTTCACAAATCAGTTCCTTTCTCTTTTCTCTAAAACGCACTTTGCCACGAGGCTGGCAAAAAGCCAAGAATAGTCTATCAGCCCCCGACAAGTTGACAGGTCTTTTCTGGGCTAATTTTAGAATCAATTTGTTATTTTTATATTTAAAATGGATCCAATTGTCGATTCGATATTATCAGGAACGGCAAAGAAGTCACCGAAGCTTTACGAGGTTTTGGGTTGCACCAAGGACGCCTCCGGTGAGCAAATTGTGGCCGAGTATCGAGCAAGGGTTCGAAATTTACACCCAGACAAGACAGGATTTGAGAATGAAGAATTTGTAAAAACGAAATTAGCATACGAGACATTGAGCGATCCGGGGACGAGAAAAATCTACGATTTGTGGCTTGATTCCCCACTACCGATCACTTTCAATGAGTTCTCCGCGAATCAAGAAGCAATAAGACAATCGATGCACTGGGCCATGGCTCCGAAGACACCAATGGTTGAGGGGATTCAAGAGAATCCGTCCACTGCGCCACCAATGACAAAATGGAAAGATCAAGATCGATACGAGTCGGAGTCGGTGCGCAAATTTCGGGACTATGCTGTGTGATTTTGTTTCCCTGAAGTCTTTTCAAAAGCCGAAACAAGTCATGGATTGGTCTTTGAAACAACTCTGTTAGCAAGCTTATTTAGTGTTTTACCTACCTAGATTACCCAGAGAAGCCGTGAGAAGAATAGTAATTAGAAAAGCTTATAAGCACCGATATCAGATGCAATTTTCCGATAATTGTCCATTAAGTTCAATCTTAATGGAACTTAATGTCCATAATTTCTCCAAAATTGATAAACTTTACGCTTGGCGTCTTATTAACATCAGTTGCTTCTTGATATTTAGCAGTTCTTTTCATAACTAGAGTGTGTTCCTTACGAGCAATGCGTTCTTTAAAACGCACAGGAAAAATTACCGTACTTTTAGCGAAAACTATTGCAAAAAAAATGGCGCAAAAATCACGAGAGCCGACTTATATATGACTCCTTTTAAAGATATTCAGCCATTTAACTAATTTGGTGGCAAGCTTCCTTCAAATGTAAAGATATTCAGTTTACGCGATTTGTAAAGAGGGTTACTTGTGGTTACTCGACCAAAAACCTCGATTAATTGAGTAAAATTACCCATGCAAATTTTGCTCGATTAATTACTTACTCGTGAGGAACACACTCTACTCTCAGCTTTGAATTTGCTTAGACAAGCTTTAGTCAGACAAGCTTTAGTCTTTAGTTTAACCACAAGCTAGTAGCTGAGCTTTCCAAAACCTTTTGTGTTGTATATTGTACCTTGACTGTATATTGTATAGCATTTACTTTGCAAATTATTTGCCACACCTTTTGAGGTAGCTATTTGTTATTGTCTAGCATCTTTCACTTGCAATTCAGCATTACCGAAGCATTCCCAAAGCGTACATGTTCTTTCCATTTTAAACTTCGCATTTAGAATGTTTAATTTGCATTTTATTTGACTTTATTTAAATCTGATCTAATAGTAAACTCGATTGAATAGCTTTAAAACTAACCAAGCCAAGCTCTTCAGCTATTCAAACGATAAACTTTTTCCAAGTCCTTCTTGTCATTGTTTTGAATATTCCGGTGTACTTTTCGTTGTACATTTTTCAAGTATTATTTTTTCTAAATTGCAAATAAAGAAGAACAAAATTTTAGGGTGATGGCCGATACATTGCCAACAACGTTACCGTCGGCGAATCGCCCATTGGGAGACCCGCTAAAGGACAAAGTCGAAGCAATAATCAACCAGTGCAAGCGGGTCGACTTTAAGTCTGAGGTGGGTTTAATCTAGTGTTTTTGTTTTGAACAGGGGGAAATAAACTAAACTTTTATTTTCAGGAATTCCAAAAAGGAGCGGAACTGTACCAGGAGGCTCTAGATGTTTGTCGTCAACTTCCCTCATCGACAACTCCATTTCACCCAATCACTACACCAATTCTCTATGAACGAGCCATGGATGATGCAATGTTGGCAAAATTTGGAAGCAAATTAGAGTATCTAAACAAGGTAAGAGTTATTGAAATGAATGTGTTTGAATTTGACAATTTAATCCGAATCAGTTCTTGAAACTGGCACTTTAAACTGAGGGAAATGCCGGCTCTGCCCCCCATTCTTTACAAATGTTGACATTTTACAAATTTCTGATTTCAGCTAAATGGCAAAGTTCAAGAAGTGCATTCAAAAGCAAAACAAATGAGAGGATTGTGCGAGGAATTGACAAAAACGATCTCCGAGAATAAAGAGAAAACGGAGCATTTCCTTGCCCAAACAAATGCGATTCGATCGAAAATGTGAGTAACTTGTGATTATTTTAAAGTAATTGACTTGAATTTTAAAAAATCACGAATTATTTTAGGTCACTTTTGGAAGCAAAAGCTGCATTAGTTGACGAGTTTCTTGACAAGTTCACCTTATCGGAGAAAGAAGAAAAAGCTTTGCTTGGAGATCAAAATGGTTTGCTTTTGTCATTCAAATACCTATTCAATTATTGTATTTTCATTATTAAAATGGATTCTAGATGGCACTGTTTCAATGGAATTCTTCGACGCATTGAACAGAATCAAACAAATCTATGAGGACAGCAAGCAACTTGTGAGAACATCAACGGAACACGTGGCTGCACTTGAGGTGGTTGAGCAAACTATGAGCAATACCAGGAGTTATTCTAAAAGCCAGGAAAGGGCAGGGTAGACCAGAAGCAAGGCCCGATCTAATCTGGCGCTTGAGGTTGGTTAAACTAATTTTAAACAAGTGCAAAATTATTCCAAGAGCCAGGGAAGGCCAAATCCTGACCCGGCTTGCCTTTGCTGCAGCCAAGACCAAGAACAGGATCCCGGGAACCTTTCTGGGACACCAGAAGTCAGACCGGACCTAGCCTGGACGACTTGCAGGCCCAATGTTGGCCACACTGGGCAAGACTTGTAGCAAATATAGTACTTTTATAATAAAAACTCAGTGTTGAATAAAAGCATAATTTTTTCAATGGATCAAAATAGCATACAAGATCTTGAAACTTTTAATTGTAATCGTCATTTCTTTCAGGTGATGGAGGACATGGCTTCCCGCCTAGAGAAAGCTTACGAGGTTCTCTATCGATCCATTCAAAGTTTGTTAAATAGAATTTCCGAATAAATTTTGATTTAGGAGAATGCCGCCTCTTATCCAGCGACTTTTCGGATATCAAATCAGTTGTGATTCAATCGTTTTCCGCACTACAAGAAAGGTAAAGAGTCAATTCTTTAACTGTAAAGCTTCCCTTCAGAGAGATTCTCTTCAAATACGCACTTGACGAGTTCGCGATGGCTCGGAAAAACCACGTGCTGAGAATTTACATTGATGCATTGACAAGAGGTGGCGGTACAAGCGGGAACAAACCAATTGAGTTGTTGAGGTAGACTTGATTGATTGTAGGATTGTTCCAACCAGGTCTTGGAGCCTATTAGCCTGGTCTAGGCCTGGTTTCTGATGAACCAGTTCTATGTGGATCGGCAAAAACTTTCTCTAGAACAACCCCGTTCACCAACACCAACAATTCAATTGTTTTAAATTTAGTCATGATCCTCTTCGATACGTGGGAGACATGCTGGCTTGGATGTATCAAGCGATCGAGAACGAGAAAGGAATACTCAACGCATTGCTCAAGATGTGCAGGCCTGAAGGTAAAAAAAAGCAAATGTTGTTAGAACGTTAGAGTATTTGCCAAAAAAACCAGTTCTAGATACTTGACAGTATTTGCATTCAGCAAAACTTTTCTTTAGTCGCTTCCTCCTGCTCAACGGATGTCATTTCACAAGTTTCCAGCGCTCTATGCCGACCGTTCAAGGTTAGATTTGCTGAATTTTCAATTTTTAAAGTTTTGTACTAAAACTTAAATCCAGAAAATGATCTTGCTTTTAGGTACGTGTCGAACAATCGTTAGCAGGCGGTGAAGCCGATCCAGTGATCATCTATAAACTCAATGGACTCTTCGGGTTTTACTTGGCCAAGTTCCCGTGAGTTATTGAGAAACTATACCAATAATGGGAATTGAACATCAATCAAGTGAAATCTCTATTTTAGACCTCTAACTGGCTCAGCTTCGGAGTTATGTCAGACAATGAAGGATCTACAAGAATTGGCGATGAGCATCTTCATGACCGGACTCTCGTCAACAGTTCAAAGGATATTGGGAAGGGTGGGTTATATAACTTGCTTTGCGACTTGAATTAGTATAACTTTTCCATACACATAGGCTTACAAATTATTATTTTTCAGATGGGGCCTCCCGACTACGACTTGTTGCCTGTTCCGGCTGTTCATCAGCTCCTCTCATTGTTGAAAGAAGTGCTTGACACGCACAATGGAGCAATGAGTGTTGAGAACCCAAAGGAACAATTTAATCAGGTTAGTAACTAATTGAGATGTAGTTAAGTCCAGTTCAGCGGTCTAATTGACGGATAGTGAGTTGATAATGAGAAAGCTCAGTCCAGCCTAGTTCAGTACAAATTCAGTCATTCTAAAAAGCCAAAACACAAGCTAGCAAACCAAGTATTGGTTTCGCCGGAGAGTCTTGTCTGCTTTTTTGAAATTTTCCTTTATAAATGAATAATAGCCGATCAACGTGTGGTTTGCCTTAAATGAAAAAATTAACTATTTCATTTAGCACATTTTTAGGCAAATTTGAGTCCGCTTTGAAACAAATCCGAAAGGGAATTCTTGTTTTTCCTTAAATCCTTACAATAGACATAGAATGGAAACGGTTTGGTGAAATCTTGAAAATTTGTCTATCTGCCTAACTTTTCAGTTTCTATCTTTTGTCTTTTGACACCAAAATAGGTTTCTGTGGCAAAAGGGGCTCAAATCGGAACATTGAGTTTCATCGTTTTTGACGGCTCAACTTCACAACTTTAAAAAAATTAACTAACGCGAGCTTTTCAGAATTTCTTAAAGAGTAATTTGTAAATAAATAATAAGACTTTCAGATAAAACAAACCATAGATTGATTGGTTCATTATTTAGTTCAAAAAGTAACCTTTAAAAAAACGGACAAGACTTTCCGGCCAACCTGATAGCTAATAGTTGGATTGCTGTTTGTAAGTTGGGTTGCTTTGGAAAAAAGCTATTAACAATTCTGGCTCTCTGATAAGTATAATTTCAAGAGTGAGCGTGTAACATGCGACTAGCTGCTTGGAATCAATATATCTTTTGTTCTAGGTGTTTTCCTGCATCCTCGATCCACTTCTCCGCTCTGTCCAACTGGCAGCCACTCAATTGGCCTCACCGCTCGATGTTGCTGTCTACACGCTAAACTGCTTATCAGCTATTCAGGTGGCTAAAATAGTTAGTATCTCATCAACACTTACATTTTCAGGCCGTCGTCCTCCTTTATCAGTTCACTGACCAGCGATTGGAGATGCTGAAAGCTTTGGTTAGCTGATTGTGAGCAAGACGTTAAAACTGATATTTTTCAGATAGAAGGCAATGAAGATGTGCTTGTTTCCGAGGAATCGTCGGCTATTTTGTCAAATACGTCACTTATCGGGATCTATCAGAAAGCGGCCGCTCATTCGTCGCAACAAGTGAGTTGAGGATATAATGAAATCCAAGAAATTCGTCTCACTGTAATATATGGCATTGAAATGCTTGAATAACCTTTACGACTGCTGTGCTGACCAACAGGATAGCGGTAGTCGTGGTACACTTTGAGACGGTTACTTAATTCAGCACTCGGTGAAAGTGCATGACTCTGAGAAATATTATTACATAGTTTCTTGCTGTGTTTATATTTTAAAATTCATTCAGGGCCCAATGTCAGCAATCCCGGGACTTGATGCTGTATCGATCACGAATGCGATCGCCTCCTTCAGCAATTTCATCTCCCAATCCGACAAGCTACGTCTCGATCTAATCACCCGAGTCAACAGTACAAGAATTCGGTTGGTTTAGCTTTATCACTTTATGACAACAATGATAGATCTTTCCGGTACTATCCTGTTATGTCTACCCAAAACTTCCATTGCATCAATCCTGTTATGCCCGCTGAAAATTTTCATTAAGAAAATTTAAATATAACCATCAATCCTGTTATGCTCTTCCAAAATTTTTATTCTCTAACGATTTTTCGTGAATGTGAGGCTCTGCTAAATGGCGCAACAAACGTCATCGTGGGATTGCCCGTCATCATTTGGAAAGCTGTCTTGGTGAGTTCATGGTACACCGAGGACACGGAGATGTCGATATTTTAAAATCGGATTCTACAACAAATCGCTATTTTTTTTACCATGTTTAGATGTTTTTTTTGCTCTTTTTAAATGAAATTTTTGGGTGGGCATAACAGGATTGATGCAATGGGGAGTTTTATTTACATTTCTTAAAATGTAAATAACAGGATAGTACAATCTTTTCCAGTGAATCAATCATGAAACGAACGATCGACAACATTGCCGCTGCTTATGCGGTAATTGTTCGGAAAATCGAGGATCCATCGAATGGATATGGCGAAATTCTTCACAAGAGCCCAGACGAGGTAAAGTTCACTCAAAAGTGTATGAGACATGGATTGATTCCGAATACCAAGTCAGGCAAATCCGTGAATGCACTGACTCATCTAGGGTTTTTCTAAGAGTAATTTTATGGGCCAGGTTAAATTAGGCAGATCAGGGACAGGTCAGAAGCCAGGGCAAAGGCTTTTCAAAGCCAGACAAGCTTTCAGCAGATCAGTCCTGCTTCTGGCCAAGTCAGATCAGCTAGGCAAGGTCGATACTTTACTTGGACCTGGTTTAGCCTTGCCTGTCCTAATCTGGCTTAGCTGGCTTACTGAAGTCAGGAAACCAGAAGCCAGCCTTGGCTTACAGGCTTCAGGGTACGGTTAAAACATCTTTGGACCTTGTAAAACACTTCAATTTTGTGTTTAGGTGATGGGACTCCTCAAGTAGAAGCGTTTATTTTAATCGCCGCATTTCCTTTTCATCAACAGAAAACAATTTTCGATTTTGTACTTATTGTTGTGCCTATTCTATCATTTATCATTTCTCAGAGCCTCAATTTAGTAGTTTTTGTGAAGCTTCCCGGATTTTTTCTGTCAAGATGTCTAATATGTGATTGATAACAGGGCTGTGATTTGGTTTTAGAAAAAATTTTGTAAGTTAATAAATTATTGAACTGATTTTCATTTAAAGTTTTAAAAACTTTATTCAACTAAAACTAAGATACAGTAACCGTATTTGTTTGGCAAGAGAACGAAAAAAAATTGTTGTGGCAAAGATATGCAAATTTTAGAGATCAGAAAAAACTGGCTAATGGAAAACGTTGGCAATTTGGAGTGTGAATGGTTGTTGAACAAACCCGTAACAAGAAAGAAACATAAATATTAAGTTATCAAAAATTGAATCATCGAATCCGGTTGAAGTTACCCTTTAACATTCGAGTGAACGCCGTGCGGAATTGACGATTTGCCAAGGCGTAGGCAAAGGGATTACCACTAGAAAGCTTTATATTAGAATTCATTATATTAGAATTTGTATCACTTTTGTATTAGGTTGTCCGGAAATCAATGAGCGTTTTGTATTGTTTATTATTTGGGTACATTTTTCTCAATAAAGTATGCTCTGGGGGGTGGGACAAATGCGACCTTTTTTTTGCGCACCCGGACATTTGCGCACCTTTTTTTTTTGCTGGAAAAGGCCTTAGGCAAGGCCGTAGAGCTTCGAAAATATTTCCATACATTGTAAGTGACATTGTAAGTGTCAAAACGAAGAGTAATTCAGTTTTTGAAAGTATCTAGCGGTAGTTTTTTGAATCACGAAATTCGGAAACGGAATTTTGAGTTGACCAACCTGCTGTTCAAGTAGCACATATAATAGGAAAGGCTGTAAAGAATCGATGGAATGCATTCGCCTTTGCAGAAACCATAAATAGTAGCCTGAAACTTGGAATTTAGAAAGATTTAGAAAGAATATAACCGATTGACCAACCATCACATAATAAGGAGACCACAGAATCGCGAAGCAGCCAACAATGAAAGTGATTGTTCGAAAAGCTTTATGCGCTCGTTTCTCGGCTTTTGTCTGTTTTCGACTTTTGCTGAAGAAAGTGATTGGGGAGAAGATCGAATTAATCATCCTTTCGCGGGTCACTGTCGAAAAAGTTGAGGCTTTTCGCTGGACACTAAAATGAAGCGATTTGTAGGAGTTCGTGTGCTTGTCAATTCGTTCTGCCTAGACTTGGGTGAATGCATATGAAATGGCTAATCTATGTAAATTTCTTCACCAGAACAGTTATCTAATTTCTGGTTCAGCCATTTCATATGCATTGATCCAATAGAAAAGTTACTTCTCCATAGGTGTTGTGATCTTTCCCAGTTTCGTTGACTTATCTCAGTTTTCAAATCTTTTCCAACTTAAGCTTCTTAGCTTCATAATCCTTTACAAATCCTACTTTCAAAGCAGAACTTTGTACAGGATGGGCCAAAATTACCGTTACAATGATCACTCACGCGCAAATGCGAAAGCGAAATGGAAGAAAGCGAAATGGAAGAAAGTGAACGGTAACAACTTCAGCAAATATCAAAAAAAGTGAGGAATCGCCTGTTGAAAACGCCAAACTAATCGGTGCGGAGAATGTCACAAAAAATGGGGATGCTTAATCCTTAGAAGAATCATCAAAAACAAGCTCAAGTTAAAGGCCTACAAGAAAAATAAATCACAAATGCTATCAGTTGACGCTACCAACCACACAAAACTGTTGATAGTTTGAAAAAAGTGCTCGAAAGGGCTTGGGAAGAGCTGGATTTCCTATACCTTCTCGCCACGATCGACGTTTGGATCGATCGACGATCGAGCGCCATCGATCGAGCGCCACGATCGGCGTTTCTACGACGTTTGGATGCCTGTGTAAAAGCTATTGGAGATCTGTTTGAAAAGGAATAGCTTTTACGAATTTTTATAAGACAATAAAAAGTTATTTTTAAGACAAATCTTTGACCTTTTGAGCTGCTTTTTATACAGAGACTTTTTTATATGTAACGGTAATTTTGGCTCACCCTGTATAACATCAAGTAGTCTTTATCAAATGACACTAGAAATATCTAGAAGTATCTTTATCAAATGACACTATCATTTGAAAGTTTGAGTACAAATTGTTGATCTTCTTGATCTTGTTGATCTCATCATTAAACAAACTCTAAGAGTCTTTAACCCATTCGAAAATTCTGCAGCGAATAATCGCTGCAGCAAAAACTCAGGAACGGACCGCTGCAGCGATTATTCGGTGCAGCGCTAATTGAGCTATTTTCATTCAATTAATTGCTTTTTTTTTGCTGTTTTTTAGCATTACATGTATATTCCAATTGTAGCAGATCTACAAATTACGTGGGCAAAAAATATGTTTCATATTTACCCGGAATCAATGCAGTCTCTGGTTTTGCATTGAAATGTTCCATAATAGCTCTAATCTTATAAAGCCGATCTCCTGCAGGATCCAGTTCATTATCACAAAAACGCAGGTTGCGAAGAATAGATTCAAATTTTGCTCTTGACATAATGTGGGACATGTGGGAAAATCCTCCTAATCCAGGCCTGCTACTCCAGTAGTCACGAATCCTCGGTAATTTGACGATTCCCATTTGAAGATACAGAGCTAGCAAGAGCTTGAAAGATTTTGCATCGAAATCCTGCCAGTTTGTTTTCCTTTTTCCATGTTTATCAGACTCGCCTACTAACATATTGATTAATTTGTCGTCGATAAAATAAGAATAATAATCGATAGGATCTTGAAAAGTACTGAAGTCAAATCCAAATCGTTCTTCATCAAAAATAAATGGTGTAGGAGACTCTCTTACATCTTTCCAACCATAAATAAACTGCTTCGGAGTCAAAAATGTCAAAAAAGGGCTTGGTCCGTAGACGAAAAAAAAAGAAAAAACGCTGCGGTTTCGAATGGGTTAAAGAGAAGCCCCAAATTGGGACTGACTCTTACCAAAACCGAATTATTGGGTTGAGGAGTATGAAATGGTGCCGACTTTCAAAGAAACTTTGATAAAATTAAGTAGTCTTTATCAAATAACAAATTGTATCTTTAGATACAATTTCTTTATATGCAACTGTGACTTTTTTTATATGCAACGGTAATTTTGGCCCACCTTGTATAGTATGTACAAGTTAGTTCTGAAATTGGGAGGCCGGGAAGGTGTTCAAAGTTTCGGTTTAAAAAGAGTCAAAATCGGGAGAAGATCGTGAAACTTTTGCAAAATTTGAAACGATCACGAAACTGAGAAAAGACCGCATTATCAGTCACTATTTTGGTACTATGCTATCGTGTTATCTACGTTTTGTATGATAGGTGCTTTACTCTATTTCCCATTGACGCTTTTCGTTTCTAAAAGACTCTGACCGTATTCCACTTGCTTTGTTGATTTGAAAGAACATTTCTAGCACAGATTTGAGAGTTAAACAAAACCGGTAATTGAACAAAAACAAACGGATGTGGTGAAAGAAGACTGGAGCTCGACTGGCCGGCCACTGCCAGCAAATGTTTCGGTTCATTGTTCTTCGGTGGAGTGGTTGGACTGGCCGCTTTCCTCACACATTCTTCCTCGTTTTCACCCGATGACGAAGAGGTACTAAAAACCGTTTTATAAAATAGCCAAAAATGGTTGTTATAAATATTTTAGTGAGTGATTATCGCCAATTTGTGTGCCTGAAGCGTTTTCTAAAAGGTGCTTTAGGAGAAAAATATCGTAAACAGTATCTAAAGGTAATCAAGGGACAGACTCGTTCATTAGGGTTAATTTTACGTTCATTTTACAAAAATTAAGATTACGGTAGCTTCTCGAAGCACCTTTTAGAATTGAAAGCAGAGAGTAGAGTCCCGAAATTTGTTTTGTGCATGCTTGAAGGCTGCATAGGCTTTGAGTTGTCTTTGATTACAATAGCAGTGAGATTGCAACATAATTTTTAACACTATATTAGTCAGATGACTAGTAAAAAGCCAGCAAATAGCTTTTTTTCTTCTTATGGCTTTCTATATTGCAATTAAAGCTGATTACAAAGTTATATTTGTTCTTGGGTGTACCTCGTGCCATTTTTAGGACAAGCTAAGCTAGCTTAGATTTAAATACATCATCGAATCCAGACTAACAAGGGAAAGACAACAGCAGGATGTGGTCAAATGAGATAAGTCATAGATCATTCGCTGCAGAAATTCACGCTGATTCCAAATCTGCTTTCCGTTTTGGCAAAATAGCTTTCTATAAAAGGTTATACGTGTTTTAAGTTTTATGGTGAAAATTCGAAAATTTGAAGCCGAATAGGGAAGCCGAGGAAGCCGAATAAGGAGCCTTTATAAGGGTTCTCTTAGGGATCCCAATCGTGATTTGATGGTTTAGTGGATAAAACGTTTGCATACGAAACAAGCGCTAGATTTTTTGCTCGAGTTCCATTCCTTTTTGTCAAATCTTTTGTTTTACGTTTTAATGTTTTAACACCAAAGTTTTACCTGGCCTTAAAACTACTTGAAATGCGAATCCAGACTAACAAGGGAAAGGCAACAGCAGGATGTGGTCAAATGATATGAGCCATCGATCATTCGTTGCAGAATTTCTAGCGCTTGTTTCGTAGGCAAACGTTTTATCCACTAAACCATCAAATCACGGTTGGAATCCCTAAGAGAACCCTTATAAAAGCTTCCCCATTCGGCTTGAAATTTTCGCATTTTCATCGTAAAACTTAAAACACGTAGAGCTTTTGATAGAAAGCTATTTTGCAAAAACGGAAAGCAGATTTGGAATTAGCGTGAAATTCTGCAACGAATGATCGATGGCTTATCTTATTTGACCACATCCTGCTGTTGCCTTTTCTTTGTAAGACCAAATCAAAGTCAAAACCAAAACCAATTACATGACTTTTTCTTGCCTTGGCCTGACCTTGACTTTGGCTTTATTCTTTTTGGGACTTGGTGCAATAGAAAGAATGTTTTTTTTGCCCAAAATACACCCAAGTTTCTGGTGAATGAGGAAGCTTCTTTCATGCTTGCTTTTCGTGATTTCTGTCTGTTGTCCATTTTCTTTTCATGCCTATTCACCTACCTTCGCTCTCTTGTCTGTTTATAGGAGTTTCTCTCTAGAAAATTCGAATTTATCCTGTTGCCCATTTACCTGCTCTCACTAATGCTTCGTTGACGAAAGGTTGTGGTGAAACGCGTTGTTTCCAGGGCTCTCGCTACCTAAAGTTGTAAATACAGGGTGCGGCAAAGCAAAAGTTCCGACACTTTTTGTAAACGAGCAGTTTGACTTGGAAAAAACGCGATTTTTGAAAAACTAACACCGGATTATAAAAATTCAGATATTTTCACCCCTCCCCCCCCTCCAATATACTTTTTTACACAAAAATTGCCATCCAAACAACCTTTTGATGAGGATGTTTAAAGGTCGTTACAGCAGTTTTTTTGCTGTTGAGATTTGGGTGCCCTTCGTAGAATCGCTTGAAAATCTTTCGTTTTTGAGATATAAAGTTTTTTTTGTGGCTTGTTTTCAAGAAAAAAACTCAGTTCTATCAAATGGTAACAGCAGTTTTTGAAAACGATTTCATTCTGCAAAGTTTAAGTCAACTTTTGCAAAAATCTTCAGCGACCAGACCGGGATATAAAAAATTCTCGTCAAAAAGTTATTGAGAGTTGAAATCTTTTTATGAAAATGGCTATGTTGGGGTGAAACTACCCAAATTTTTAGAATCCGAGAAAGAGAAAGATTAACGGCTACAATTCTATATATAACACTTGATACTTTGAAAGCTGCACAACTAGAAAATCGAAGAAAATGTAATAGTGGTCGACCAGTGCTCATTCCAAGACTTGTAAAATGAGTTATATGCATCTGATTGTGAAGTTTTTACTATATAAATGTAGCCAAGATTAACGGCTACAATTCTATATATAACACTTGATACTTTTGAAATAAGTTAGACATTTGCTAGATATTTTTAGAATTCGGCGTTAGTTTTTTGAAATTCACGGGTTTTTGAAGCCAAAAAAATGACTGCTTACAGAAAAAGTGTCAGAACTTTTGCCGCACCCTGTATATGAAAAGATTGGAGTGTTTTATCTTCGCAAATATAGCATTCAACCAATTCTCTCTCATTTACATAAAATCTTCGGCATTTACTCAATTCAGTATTAAATTTTGATTGACTTAATCCAGATAAAATGGGTTTAAGGGGGTTCTAGCCTGGCTAGGGTTTTAGCCTGGCCTGCACACTACTATTCAAGAATTACGGCCAAGAATCTAGTGCAAAAACTATTGAAAAAAATCTCTAAAACTCGAGAGCTCCTTATGATCAAATTTTAAACATAAATAATTACTACCGTATTTTCTGTAATAGTAGTGTAGTCTATAATAGTAGTGCAGTCTGTAATAGTAGTGCGGTCTGTAATAGTAGTGCAGGCAGGAGGGGGGTTGAAAAAATAGTAGTGCGCACTACTATTACAGAAAATACGGTATTCAAAAAAAGTAGCAAAGAGTTTAGGTTTTCTAAATTAATTTAAGTATTTACAAGTGTTTTATCCATGATTGGATAGTCATTAAAATAATTCTTTAAGGCCAAAGCTCAAAATTTGGTCACAAGGAGCCGCGTCCCAGAGGCTCTCGGGATTTGAAGTTCTAAGTAAGACAGCAGGAGTGGAGAAGAGTGAAAGTTCTATAGAATTGCTAATTTTGAATAGCTGAGTAAAGTATCGAAGTAAAGTGTTGAAAATAAGCAGTAAATTCTACCAAAAAGTTTTACGGGAAATGGTTAGAGCTAGACGGAGCTGCGCACTAGAGAAAAAGTGACCGTAATTCTTGAACATCTTATATAGTTGATGTTATTGCTAAGTGTCAGATGTTCTTGAAACAAATGCGCAAGGTTTTGTGACAAAGACGCTCACTTTTACATCAGCTGGTGCTCGTAATTCTTGAACTGCAATAGCTGCAATAGCTGCAATAGCTGCAATAGCTGGTTAGCTGGGTTCTTACGGGCACCAGTTGAACTTGAATTTATTGGGTTTGCAATGATTGCAAACCCAGCTTCGCTAAAAGTCTTGGATTTACTAGAGCCGGGCTTCTGGTGGACTCTAGCTTTTAATTGTTCATTCTATTGTTGTTTTTAACCAACTTTCAAGTTTGATTCATTTTATTCAAACAGCAGAATAACTTTATTGACTTTTTAAAGTTTAAGCGCAACTATTCATCGATCACTATGAGATCAACGAGGACAAGCTCAAGATCACTTATGAGATAGTAAACAACGAGGACAAGCTCTAGAACTACACATCTCAAAGAGCAAAGAAAAGAAGTTACGGAAAAGTGTTCCTTACGATAATTTGTGATAGTTGATCGGCCTTTAGATGTATTTAGGGATAAAGACAATCCGCAATTCTCCCAACCTTTCTCCTCATGCTGACCACCCAGTGATCTCGGTCTCGGATCAATTTCTCGCATACAACCTCCTCGCATTTTTGCTTGATCGCCGTGGGTGGGATCTGAATATGGACTTTAGTTTTAGCAAATTTAATTATGCTTAAAAGTTCTAAGCCTTTTGAGTTACTGAATAGCTCGATTTATTGAATTTGTATGCAGGACCAGGGCCAGGGTCCAGAGATAAAGAGATAGGTCCAGAGATCGCTAGATCTAACAAGTGGCTCTCCACCTAGCTAAAACCAAATCGAAACCGATCAGAACCGAATCAGAACCGAATCCGAACCGAATCAGGTGTCCAGAGATCGCTAGATCTAACAAGTGGCTCTCCAGACCTAGCTAAAACCAAATCGAAACCGATCAGAACCGAATCAGAATCGAATCCGAACCGAATCAGGTGTCCAGAGATCGCTAGATCTAACAAGTGGCTCTCCACCTAGCTAAAACCAAATCGAAACCGATCAGAACCGAATCCGAACCGAATCCGAACTGAATCAGGTGAAAATTACAAGTGAGCGGGGATTTTTTGATCATCCTGTAGTAAATTTTGCTAGATCTAGCGAGATCTGGACCCGGATCCAGAGCTGTTCCGAGCGGATTCAATGGTATCTAAGGAAGTTAGGCTAGGCTAGGTCAGTAGCTATGTTCAGGACTGGCTTCTGGCTTCGAACCAGTTCAGGCAAGGCCAGAGGCCGATAGGCAAGGCCAGAAGCCAAACCTGACCGAGAAAAATTGTCTTTGACCTTGCTCAAAGCTCAAGATTTGCTCAAGCTTTAAGCTCCTCGACCCAAAAAATCAATCTACTCTATCTGCTTTACAAAACTAGATCAAAATTGAACCAATCAAGATCTGTCGCCAGTTCAAAACTCACATGATTGTGTGGACGGGCCTCCGACTTGATCTCTTCTATCCGCTTGCAATTGATTCGAACTGATCGTTGCTTCTTTGAACTACCTTTCTAAAAGGAAACCATATAATTTCTAGACTTTAAAATTGAAAAATGAGCAATTTAATAGCTTCAAAAGAAGAAATTACTTCTCAGTAAATTAGCTATATACCTTGAATCTCCTATTCAATTGAATAATCGATGAAGAGCACTCAGAGTCATTGATTGAATCCCCTCTCGCCAGACCCGGGCTTTTAAACCGCAACACCGAAGAGAGATCCTCTTCATTAAACAGCAAAGACAAAGAATCTTTTCGTTTCTAAAAGATTGATTTTAAAACTTCAATTTCCTTTACAAACCTCTTTTTCGGACTGTGTTGTATCGGCGGATTTGACTGATCTAAAATCGGAAGTTTTTGCAATTTCCCCTTTCCAATAAGCTTTCTATATTAAGCTAAGCTATTAAGATAAGCTTAATCCATTTTTGAATCAAAGCTGAATAACATTTCCTCACCTCAAACTGCTCCTATTCCTCTTCTTGCTACTTCTTCTACTCGGCGTACTCTCCAACTCTCCCAACAATGAATCCTCTTCATTGTCCGTGTTCTCGTCCTCGGCTTCTTGAGCGTGACTTTTCTGAAAGAACTTGAAATCAATATAATCTTTAAAACATATTGCAAATAATGTTTCACAGAAATACAGGATTAAAGGATGAAAGTACAAGGAATTCTACAGTTTCAATTATTCGAAAGCCTGAGCCCGTACGCTCTGGAAAAAGTCTCTGATCTTCTCTGATCTTTACGGCGGCACCTTTGATCTTTCTGGTAGAATGTTCATAGTTTTCCCGTGGAGAGTACTTTTCTTTCAGAAAGTTTCCGGTAAAATTTTCCGCCGAAACTTTCCGAGGAAAAGTACGCTCAGCGGGAAAATCATGGACGTTTTACTGGAAAGATCACAGGCAAAGATCAGAAAGAGCAGAGACACCACCGGAACTTTTCCCGAAGCGTAGCATACGGGCTCAGTAGTGTTCGGAGTTCAGTAATGTTTGACAAACGGATGACCGAAGCTTTTCCAAGCAAGCTTTTCCAAGCAAACTTTTCCCAGCAAGCTTTTCCCAGCAAGCTTTCCGAGCTTTTCCAGCAGATTCAAGAAACTGTGCTACAGTACTTTTGCAACACTAACCAAATTCGGTACTTTCCTATTATACCCCCGCAAAATTTCCCTCTGCATTGCATCAAACATCAATGTTTTCCATTTTAATACCTTCAAAACAATTGATTCCATATGATTGATATTTGAATATATGCAAATTTAAAAAAACAATAATTTTACCGGGGTATTAGAATTATCTAATATCTAGCATTTAAACCTTTTTAAAGTACTTACTAAATCATCAAGTGTCGACGGTCTTTTCGGACTGAAATTGTTGTTCGATCCATTCGAAAAACTGATCATCACTCTCGTGTGATCCTGCAATCTTTTCCTCGGCAATTCCGGTGTTTGTTCAATTGAAAGCACCTCGTCGATTTTCTCCAAATGACCGCCAGACTCATCAGTCGCGTTTGCCGAGGAGAGCTGTAAGTTCGCGTTTATTGATGACTCAAAGTAGGTCTTTTTTAAAAAAATACATTTCTTCACACGAATAATGTGGTAGAAACCAAGTTTGCAAAATTGTCCGCGAAAAACCAAAGCGAAAAAAACCCCGCCCACTTGCCAGAGCCATAATTTGGCTAAAATTTGTTTTAAATTAAACCTTTCAACGTTATTTTGGTATCATTCGGTGTAGAAAATCTTGCTCTATCAAATGAAGCCAAAATATCATAGAAAGGTTCAATTTGAAGGGGGTGGGACAAATGCGACCTTTTTTGCGCACCTGGACATTTGCGCACCTTTTTTTTGCTGGAAAAGGCCTTAGGAAAGGTCGTAGAGCTTCGAAAATATTCCCATACAAGGGAATCGTATGCGTAGATTCCGAATTTCGACAAATCAGACCTCGCTGACACGTCAAATTTAGGCTAAAAGGCAAAAACTACGCAACTTAACGCTTTTCCGCAGTTTTTGCCTTTTAGCCCAAATTTGACGTGTCAGCGAGGTCTGATTTGTCGAAATTCGGAATCTACGCATACGATTCCCTTGTATGGAAATATTTTCGAAGCTCTACGGCCTTGCCTAAGGCCTTTTCCAGCAAAAAAAGGTGCGCAAATGTCCAGGTGCGCAAAAAAAAGGTCGCATTTGTCCCACCCCCAATTTGAACAAAATTATAACCAAATATAGCAAGTAGGCGGGGTTTTTTTTGCGTTTTCTGTTTTTGGTGGGAAATTCTGATAAAAACAATACACAAGCACAACCCCTAAGCCTTAAATGTAGGCAAGAAAAAGGCGATATGGAAAAGAAATCAGTAATCAGTAAGAATCAGTAATCCAGCTAGCGGAATTGAACCCTTGACCTCCCGACTAAGATACAGGGCTCTGAGCGAGTCAGCCATGACGATCAAAAAGGAAAACTAAACGTCAAAAGCGTACCTGAAGGTACAGAATAGACATGGGCATCGGGTCGGGTCGGGCCAGGTCAAAAGTGACCCGCCGACCTGACCCGCGACCCGGCTTTTTCCCCGGATGACCCGCTGACCCGACCCACTGACCCGACCCGGCCGCCAAAACTCGAAAATGGACATGTCTAGTACAGAGCATAACCTTTATCATTTGATTTTTGTTTTATCTTAAATCTAATGCAACACACGCGAAATTCTGCGCACGTTAGGCTCAAAGCTTGGAATTGCTCACTAGAATTGCTTGGAATTGCTTGGAATTGCTTAGAAGCTTGACCGTTTTTTCGATATTCAACTTAAACTTACAATAGCTGTCGTCTGCGTTGCATACGCGCTATCCCTTGTCTCCGTCTCTCGTTCAGCTCTCTCCTAAAAACTTTGTGATTTTAAAATCTTTTAAAGCTTTTGATAGACCGTTATTATTAGAAGCTTCTATTTTAGATTTGGGGGTAGGTTACTTTCCGCAATTTTTTTTGCGCAACAGGGTCATTGGCGCAACTGGGTCTTTGCGCAACTTGCCATAACTTTCTTCTAAGTAGGCCAATCTTTATGATTTTGGTTTCATTTTGTTGCACTTATTGAGATCTACAAAATGAAACCAAAATCATAAAGATTGGCCTACTTGGAAAAAAGTTATGGCAAGTCGCGCAAACGACCCAGTTGCGCCAATGACCCAGCGCAAAAAAAGTTGCGGAAACTAGCCTACCCTCTAGATTTATTTCCACTAACAAGACCAAACATTTCCCAACACAATCACAAGTTAGAGACTTGACCGTTTTTTTACCTTTTTCTTCTTCTTTCTCAGGTTTTTCTTAAATGGTTGATTGAAAAGTGTTCAAGAAAGCACCTAGAGAAAGCACATTCTAATGAGACTAATTCTGCTAATGAGATCTAGTATGCTAGTCGCTTGAGTACTATGTACTATGTATATACTATTAGTATGCTATCTTCATTCAACCTTTTAGAAACGATGAATCGACCAAAACATAAACCGTTTTTTTTTTTATTGAAAAGCTCTATCTTTTTTCTACAAAATCCTTCATTAATTATTTTAAAAAGCACTTGTTTTGAGAAATTTCAAGAGGTGAGAAGGCAAATTGTCAAAATTAACTTGTCAAAATTAACTAACGACGTAATTCCTCCATTTTGGATAGACCAATTTTTCTGAAACATTTCCATTCGTTTAGCTGGATAGCAACTTAAAATATGTATCAATCAGTTTTTTGAATTTACGGAATTTTTTTGACCTGTTATGCCCCCCATTTATTTTACTATAGCCCCCACTGATGTGTTTTGAAGGGCGGACGATTCTACACTATCAATAAACTTTACTATCATCCCCCAAAGATAGTTTAGTATCGCCTTCAACCAATTTTTATCATTTTTTCAATGAGTCCGGGCGATGGTAAGCCCCGGGGGGAGGCCCAGAGGGAGGCCGAGGGAGGCCCGGGGGGCCCGGGGGAGACCCGAAGGGGAGGCCCGGGGCGAGGCCCGGAGGGAGGCCTAGGAAGGCCCGGGGGAGGCCGGGGGGAGGCCCGGAGGGAGGCCTAGGAAAACCCGGGGGAGGCCCGGGGGGAGGCCCGGGGGGAGGCCCGGGGGGAGGCCCGGGGGGAGGCCCGGGGGGAGGCCCGGGGGAGGCCCGGGGGAGGCCCGGGGGAGGCCCGGGGGAGGCCTGGGGAGGCCCGGGGGAGGCCCGGGGGAGGCCCGGGGGGGGCCCGGGGAGGCCCGGGGGAGGCCCGGGGGAGGCCCGGGGGAGGCCCGGGGGAGGCCCGGGGGAGGCCCGGGGGGAGGCCCGGAGGAAAACCCGGGGGAGGCCGGGGGAGGCCGGGGGAGGCCGGGGGAGGCCCCGGGGAGGGGATAATAGTAAAGTTTTCCCCCAATGAACAATTGTGTACTTGGCATCGACTTTTATTGTATTTTTAATGACATTCGAACAAAAGACTGCGTACAATATTGAAATTTTAAGCTAGTCTTAAGTTTTTTTAAACTTTTGTTTAAATCACACTGTTAAATTCAAAGTCAGCATTTTGCTCAATAACATCTATGGATAAATGACACTTTTATAGAATTGAGTGATTGTTAGATTGTTAGAATTGTTAAAAGCTTAAAAGCTTCATTTGGCAACGAACTTATTTGGGTTAACTTAAAAACTAATCTATAATCGCAAATAATACAGAAGCAGAAGGTTGCGTAAACATCTTTTTGGCAATATCTTTGCAAAGTTTAATTTAACGAACTTAAACTCACCAATTCGAGCTTCCTTTCTCTTTCCTTGTCCTGTTGTAACATCAGCGAGACACCAACCTGAGAATTTGAAGTTTATTAAAGTTAAATAGCTTTCACTAAACTCCAGAATTCAATAAAATTCAATAAAGACTTAAATCGAAATATTTTTTAAACCCCTCATATCATTTCGATCTTTTTATCAAATCGGATCTCTTGCAAGACCTCAAATCTTTTTTTCTTTACTGAAAATTTCCCGGATTTGCGCACTCTCTCTTTCTTTGCGGATTCCCTTTCGAAATTAGATCGGAACTCAAAAAAAAGAGAACTTTTTAGTTCTCTGAACGTTTCCCACTTCAATTTCGATTTTTTTTTGAGATTTTTGAGGAAAGATACTTGATAAAATTCGGTTTTTAAAAGTTCAAAACAGAAATCAAAAGAGAAAACAAGTTCAAATAAACAACAAGGTTTTGATTTGATTTAAAAGTCTTTCAAAAAGTCTTAGCCTAATTTGGACTTTGTCAAGTCTTTGAAGTCTTTGATGTCTTTGATGGACTTTGTTTTAAGTTAGTTTTAAAGTTGTTAATCTTTAGGAAAAAAGTCACTAATCCTTCAGCCTTTTTGGCGTTGCGTTGCGTGAGATCACGCAATAAAAGATATTGAAAAAATGGACTTGTTTAAACGATTATGTTTGCTAAAACTTTGGCAGAAATTTCAGGAAGTTTTGAAATTGTTGACAAGATCTTGCTTGGTTGATTTATTGGTTTTTTTGATCAGTTTAGACATGTCAGAGTTGAATCTACAGCGAGTGACACCTTTTTTGAAAAAGTTGCTGGCAAACGCCTGACTTATTACCAAAGTGTTAAGTGTTAAATAGAAAAATAAAGCCCTTTATCTTGGCATCATTTATCTACAAAGAACTTTTCGATTGGAATTATACAACTCATTTTACAAGCTCTTGAATGAGCTCGAATCGGCTTCTCTCCGGCGATCTGCTATTTTTAACACTTTTCTTAAGAAAAAATTGTTAAAAAGTTTTCTCGATATTAAGAAAATAACATTTAATATCATTTAGCAATAAGAATAGCAACAAACTCTTATCTCAAACTTTCATAGCCAAAAATTAACGTTGATATCTGGGTTCATTTGGAAACTCCTTAAAAAAAGAGAAATTATGAAATTATTATCGAATATCCATTTGACAAGAAGATCTTGATGTATAAGCTTCTCTAGCGTATGCTGGGGAATATGGAAACGAATGTTTCTTATCATCCTAGGAATTGAAAAGCTACACAACAAATAACCACGTATTACTATAGTAAAGCTTTACAGCGTTGGAGAAGCTTTTTTAGAACGTTGGAGAAGCTTTATAGCTTTGGAGAAGCTTTAGAGCATTAGAGAAGCTTTAGAGCGTTGAAGAAGCTTTAGAGCGTTGGAGAAGCTTTAGAGCGTTGGAGAAGCTTTAGAGCGTTGGAGAAGCTTTACAGCGTTGGAGAAGCTTTTTTAGAGCGTTGGAGAAGCTTTAGAGCGTTGGAGAAGCTTTATAGCTTTAGAGAAGGCATCCAGTTTCAATGCCTCAATCAGGCTGCAGTTTTTATAAAAATCCCTACAAAAATTAATCTATAAAAACCCCCTCTCTACCCAATCTTTATCCTATTCTCGATGAATAATCATCGAAAAGGTTTTCTCATTTTTTTCAACATCGAAAGATCTCTTCTCGCGCCATTATGAGCCGAATTTTCACGCTTGGATTGATCTCAATTGTCTCGATCAGTGGAATGCTTTCATCGTCGACAATTTTTCTTCCTTTTCTTTTTTCAAAATCGTTGAGAAGAAAGAAAAGTACAAATGATTGACGTTTATCTGAGTAAATCTTTTAGATCCAGAACTAGAAACAAAAAAGTGAATGAATGGATCAAAGAATGAAAGAATAAAGATTTTGGTCGACTAGAAACTAAAAAAAATCTTTGAGTTTTGTTGGGTAAAAAGGCTAACATGGGAATGGCCATAACGTAAAATTGGAAATCATTTGAATCAAATTTTCTTGAATCGACCACTTTGTAATTGTAAGAAGCTAGAATATTGAAAATTCTGGTCATTGATGAAATTTCCAGCAAAGAAATCTTGTTGTAAGACCAAAATAGTTAAACGATCTGAGACTCATTTGGTCAATATAGGCTTTTCATTTTGAAACACCAAACCAATCGCCACAGCTCCCTATAAAATTTAGCCGAATTTGATTTCATGGCTAAGCTTTGAACGGGGTCCAACTTTTATCATTTGGCCCAAGTCCAGGTACGCCTTTTGATAATTTACTTGAGTCACTTAAGTCTTAAGAAAGAAATCCTGAGTTCAATGCTTATTTTATATTAGACATGGACACTAAAAACTACAAACGTAAACTACAAACGTTTCTAACTTGATTCAAGTCTGCCGGATTGACATAATCTATAGCTTAAAAAAAAGAGAATTTCAAAAGCTTTCGAATGCCCACCCAAAAATATCAATGCTAAAGAAAGTTACAGTGGCTTGAAGCCTGACCCGAGATGGACCGTACTTGAGTGTAATCGAAGGTAATGTAATCGAAGGCTTCAAACCACTGTAACTTTCTTTAGCATTGATATTTTTGGGTGGGCTTTGGTCCATTCAAAAGCTTTTGAGATTCTCTTTTTTTAAGCTATAGATCATGTCAATTTGGCAGTTTTGAAGCAAGTTAAAAGCGTTTGTAGGGTGACAGTTCATCATCTTTGTAGTTTGTAGTACTCATGTCTATTTTATATCCTCCATTTTATTTCTGTTTCTTATTTTTGATTGTTCAGTCAGCCGTCTCTTGGTCAATTGTTCTGAGAATACTCTGAGAATGAGAATGAGAATGTCATGAAATGTCTACAAGCAGAGAATTTCAATTTCTATTTGTAAACAAAATTTCAGAGCAATCGGCCAAGAGAAGCCCAAGAAAATGGAGGTAGAATTAGGTTCGGATCGAAATTTTCCCATGTCTAGATCCAACCTGTGTCCCCAACCGTTGACTCAATATCAAAGCGATATGTCTCCTCTCTTTGGCTTTCCCTTTCTCTTCGAGATTCTTCGCTGCTTGATGTATTCCCTAAACTTGAAATCATCTTTGGCTCAAATTTGTGTTTTCGTTTTTTTGACAAGTGCAATCGAGTTGCGAGAACCAAAGTTCTTAGGAAATGGCTTTTCAAGTGGCTGCCTATCCATCATTGAATCTTGTTTAAGAGGCCCGTTTGACGTAAATTGACTAAGGTGTTCGAAAGGTGAGATTGATGTTCAAGTGGGGGGTTCTTGTTCATCAAGAACTAATCTCAAAAGAAATGTTGTTCAATAGATGGTTACTACTTAGTGACTCAAAATTGGAGTCATAAAAGTTAGAAAAATTGGATGAAACAGTACTAACCTTGTATAGAATCAGCATCGCCACCAACGTTGTCCAATAGTAGGACACGTACATGCCCATATTTACATAAGGATTTGCAAGAAATGGAGCCGAGCACTCGTCGCCTTCCATACTGAAAATGAGGCCAGAGTAATGAAATAAAAAAATTTCATCCTTCAGCTAAATATCCATTTTTACAGTTTACATTATTTACAATCTGTTAAAATATCGTACTGTAGTGTTCCGAGGAAGGATTACCTTATTTTCTCTAATAGTATTGCGCTATAATATTTTTTCAATCGCTTCTCGAACCGCAAGACTATTAAAGAATGCAATATTATTCGAGTTTCAGCATTTTTGCAAAAAACTGTAGGCTAGACTATTTGGGGGGTTAACTTAGCTCCATCTAGAGTATAGGAGATCAGGTGTAATGGTTAGCACAGTTTCCCAGTAAGCGAAAGGTCGCGGGTTCGAGTCCCTGCAGGGCATAAGTTTTTGAACTTCCCTAGTTCCAACTGGCGATCACGAAAGTATGGGCTCTGCAATGCTGGCTAAGGTCTACATCCCTAGTTTCGAGCGCACCCAAGACCTATAAATCGAGATGTGTAGAACCGTCTCGTCCAGAGGGGAGGGAACTTAACTCCCTCTGGTGTAAGGAGACCGAGTGCGCTGTGGTGTAATGGTTAGCACAGTTGCCCAGTAAGCGAGAGGTCGCGGGTTCGAGTCCCTGCAGGGCACAAGTTTTTGAACTGCCTTAGTTCCAACTGTTATAATCACTTTGTACTGACTGATTCTGTCATATTTTTCTGTTTTTGAAACATTTCTTAATAATCGATGTAGCTGTATCGATTAGTGACAGTTTCATAGTAATTTAATAAAGTTTAGTACCTGTTTGAGCTTGCGTTTGAGCCAGGGCGGGGTTTCGCTTTATAGCCCGCCCACGCGTAAGCTTTAGACCTTACTTTTCAACCAAATTACTTAAGATTAAGTTTAAAATTGTTAAGAAACATTAAGAACACTTTGAATAAGAAGGAATTTTGATTTACTATTGCAGAAAACCAAACAAAAAAAATTAGAGCTACAAGTTCATAGGAAACTTGACCAAAGTCTCCCCAAACTAATCTAGCCACAAGAACTGTTTGAAATAAAAAAAAAGATAAAGCTTCTTTTTCAAAAGCTCTTGCGAAATAAACTAGATGAAAAAAGAAATATCATTTTGTTCACTTAAATTTCTTTAAAATTTCATACAAACACAAAAGCATTTAGTCAAAAAAATTTTAAATGCAAAATACGCACTATGAATGCAAATTTTTAAGAATGCAATAGTATTTTTTCAACCCTATCCCGGATCGCAATACTATAAGAAGTAATAAAAGGTTTTTTTTTCTAACCTTCCCGCTTCTCCCGTCATTGCTTTCCATGCGTAGATCATAATGCCGAAAACGACTGCTGGAATGGCCCAAGAGAGAATGATCATCACCTTAATTATCGAATTAAGGTTTGATTTACTGTAGTTTAGAAAGGGAATTAAAAACGCACTTTAATCTTATGCCTTTTTCTCGTAACTAGATCTTACTTGTGTCTTTGTTGGACTCTGCCATTTAAGGTACTTGGCTGTGTGACAAACGGAGAGATACCTAAAAAGATTTCTTACAAATCACTTCAAAATTGCTTTCAAAATAAAATATGTTCTTTTTAAAGTACTATAGTATTGCTAATTGGAAATAGTTTCTGAAATTTTACCAAACAAATCAAAACAAAAAATCAAACACAAACCTATCAGCGGTGATCAATAGCACAGTCAAAATCGAGACAAGGCACAATGTGTAATCAAGAAAAAGCCACGTTTCGCACGTGACAGCCCCCAATGGCCAGCGATCGCCTAAAAGTACAATTTGCAATGTACACTTTTTTGAATTCCTTTTTTTTCTGCTCACCATTGAGGAAATAAATTGTAAAGAGTGGGAAACCCTCGATTCCAATAATTAGATCCGAGATCGCCAACGAAACAATGTACCGATTGCTCACCTGGAAAGAAAAATTGGGTTATTGTAATAGAAAGGTTACAAGCCTAAGCCTAATAGAAAATCTCTAATAGAATTCTAATAGAAGTTTCTGATAGAGAATGGTCTTCTAATTTTTAGAACTCTCTAAAATTTGCCGGTCAAAAAAGTAGATAAAGGTCCCCCAAATGAAGCTAAAAACATAAAAATTGTTAAAAACTATTTTAAACAATAGACATTGGCATAAAACGTAGGAAAAAACATGTTTAAAGGTAAAATGATTTTTTTTGACCCCATAGCAAATCTTCCAAAAAATCCATGTGCTCTCCCATGAAATTTCTTTTAAAATTCTTTTTTAATTTTTTCAAAAATCATGTTTTCAATTTTACTGCCGAGGCTAAAATACTTCTATCTGGATCTAAATATACCATTCTACTTAAAAAGACGTTTCAAAAAGTCCCGATTTCAAGGAGTCGGGGGGGGGTGATCTTCTATTAGGTTGGCAAGTTATAAACGATCGCTTGCTTTGTTCAATGATTTCTTAGAATTCAAAAAGATTTTTCGCGGGGGTTTTTCAACAAAAAAACTACAATATTTTAGGGTAAATATAACACCGATTTCAAATTTCTGAGCCCCTATTTTCCTGAAAAAAATGGAGGACGAAAAATTTCTTATTCGCACAGCTATGCTCTACGATTTTAAACAAGGAAAATCAGCCGCTGAATCTCATCGTACAATTATTTCTGCTTTTGGAAATGGAAGTATTAGCGAAAGTCAATGTCGAAACTGGTTTCGACGCTTTCAAAGTGGCAGCGAAAGTCTCCAGGATGAGCCGCATGAGCGGCATCCTCCAGGAGTGACTGATGTGGATTTGCTGGCAGAAATTGAAGAGGATCCAACACTCACTACACGAGAATTGGCAGAAATGTTCGATGTTTCCTCTATGGAAGACTTTTCGATGATTATGCACAAGTCAAAAACGCACTTGATTTCTACTTTGCTCAGAAGGACGCTCAGTTTTTTGAGAAATGGTAAAATTCACTTTCAGAAATGGTAAAAAGATTCACTGATCTTCTATTAGAATTTTTACAGTAAGCACAAAATATATATTCTATCTTGTATTTGTAAATGTTTTTACTTTAAGTTAAGCTATCGCTAGAATTAAATTGAGATCTGTTGAGCTAGATTGTGCTGATGACTCATCGAGCACGAGGAATGGATGAGCAAGGGGATTTATTCGAAAATCTTCTTTGGACATTTCATTCAGAGCTAATGCTAAGATTAAACTTGAGTAATTAAGCCAAAGAACTCTTTAATCCTAGATATGTTGATGGTGTCAAAAAAAATCATCAAAAAAATCACGACAAAAACAAAATTCGTTTTTAACACAATCACCATTTTCCACTCATCCCAATAAATCTAAATCCTAACGCATTTTTAAGCCATTTTATTTTATTTTACAAAAAATTTTTCCTCTTTCTAATGCAGCAAATTGTAAGTAGAGCAATTAATTTTATTTTTAACACATTTGCGATGAAGTTGCGATGATGTTAATTTTGGGCAAAGCATCGCGTTAACTGTTTTACTGATAACTTGGTGTAAATTGAAAAATAAACTAAACTATTCTACTCATTCGATAGCCCTGACTCTCCTCTTGAAAACTAGTATAAAATTGACGAGAACTTTTTGCGAATAAATAACAAAACCTATAAAAAAGAGTTAACACCAAAAATAATCGTTTTTACTACGTCCCACCGGTAGGCCTAAGAATGTATTAAAAGAAAAGAAAGGAATTAAAGAAAGAAATGTGTCGTGAATGTATTAAAAGTTAATATTTCTATTCTTGAATCAATCTTTTATCCACTTTTCACCTGTTTACTGATATTTCTCTCCAGCTTATATGCCATGATAACCATCGCATTGCCGATGATTGTCTCCAAACTCAAAAGCACCACAATAAACCAAACGATAATCTAAATTCCTTGTTTTTCTTTTAGGTTATCTGATTTTCATTTAGTTCTTAATTCTTTGGATTTTTAAAGTAGCTTAGAGGTTTTCCTTTTCCTTTTTCCTTCTCTTAAAAACATCACCCCACTTAAATGGTTTGTCTCCGTTCGTTTTTCGTTTTTTTTCCGAAAAGCAAAAGTGCACAAAGCTTTTAAGCTGTCTGAACAAAAATTATTTTCTTTTTTCTGCAAAAAGTTCATTGATCAAAAAGGAGAATGGAAAAGAAAGAAGAAAAGAAGAAAAATAAAATCCAGGTAAAAATTGTTGGCCAAAGTTGATCTAAGAAATGAAAATTGGCAAAAGAATATTCAAAATATGCAAATTTATCATTCATTATTATGCAGAGTTTAACTTTTGGGTTATTTTTAAATCAATAACCTGTGTGGTTGTGCTGTATGGTGAATCCCATAGCTCTCTCGGTATCGACTTGAGAGTCGAATTCATAGAACCTGGAAACTTCAAGGTACTTTAAAAAAACTGTATCATTATGAACAAAATTATGAATTAAAGAAGAGTAGATAGTAAAAACAAGTACAAAATGTTTATCAACATACAAATTTTAATTATAAATTGGTATTTGAATTTAAAACTTTAACAAGAACAATCATTACTTGATCATTACGACATTAATCACTTGAAAGATTAACATTTTTATTCTAACATTGACCAAAAACAGCTAAAAAGCAAAGTCCATAGCTTAATGGACAATTTGAAAAGAAAAGCTAAAGGAAAAAAAAGAAGTGACATCTTTCAAAGAAAGCTAAAATCTCAAAAGTATACAAAATTTGATATGCGGAAATTTGAGCTAAAAGGTAAAAAAAAATACCGAACGAGCCCTGAGAACGACGCATCAAGCCCTTGAAAGGAACTTCCTCGGGCACAATAGGAAGACGCAGCTCGACCAAGACCTAAGAAGTACGGATATACGCCAGCTCTCGGGACTCAGAGATCCAGTGGAAGTGATCGAGAGAAAAAGACTCAGATGGGCCGGCCACGTAGCCAGAAGAACAGACGACAGATGGACGATACGGATCACAGAGTGGCTACCACGAAATCAGAAGAGCCCATCGGAAGACCAGCAACGAGGTGGAGCACAAGAGTGGCAGAGACGGTCAGAGAAAGGATGGCTAGAGTGCAACCAGCACCAGCACAAGCAAGTCGAAGACTTCGAATCAGGAACAACCAAGATAGGAAACACTGGATGACAATAGCAAGGGATAGAGAAATGTGGAAGCAGGTTGTGATCTGTGATGCAGGTTGTGATTAAATAGGAACAACTAAGTGCGAAGACAGATCAAAAAAAGGTAAAAACTAGTTTAAATAAATCAACAAAAGCAATATTTTCAAAGAGATAAAACCCAAAAATTGTCTTTTGTTTGCAAATTGGTTCTAAATCCCAATCTTATCGTTGAATTTGAAGAATAAGAGCAACCTGGTTAGCCTTGGATAAAGAAAGGTTTGTGATTAGTTTTTAAGCTCAATATGGAAAAAATCCTTTGGTCAATATACTAAATTTACTACATTCAGCATTAAAAACAAATCAATAGACTAGAAAAATAAGTTTTCTTGTCAGGCTCAAGGGAAAAAGCTTTCAAGCTTAAAGCAAGTTAGGTCAATTGTTGAGTGACCGACTTTGGATCGACTTTCCCACCGGCTTTTCCTGTAAGATACCTCCCACGTATAGTTATGACTAAAAATTCCTGGTCATTCTTGAAACTTGCAAGCAAAGAAAGGAGAAAGTAAAGGATTTGTGAATTTTTCGTAACCCAATCGCTCGGAGATTGGCTTCACGTAGTGGCCGTTGTGGCCGTTTTTGACTGAAAAGGCCTTTTCCCCCTTTTGCACTGACTTTTGATGTCTTGAATTTTTGCCAACCCACCCTCTTTTACCTTCTTTTTCAAGTGTTACGAATTCAGCCGACGGATGAACAGACAATAAATCAGATTCCGGCTTTTTTTTCGCGTTTGGAACAACAACATAAAAAACTTTGACCTCATCTCTGGGGAAATTACGAAAGATAAGGAGATTTTAACAAATTTAGATAGCTATTTTTTGATTCACTTAGTGTAAATCTTTGAAAAGAAACATTAGTTTTTAAAGTTGTTCTTAAAAATTTGAATCTTTTAAGAAGCTAAAGCTTTTTCCTTTCTCCATTTTCTTCCTAACGGGAGAATAAATTTTGAGAAGAACACCAATTCATCAAAACGAGAAAAAGAGAAAGAAAAAAAAAGCTTTAGAAAGAATTAGCTTCGACAAATCGGAATAAGAAACGAATAAGTGAAACAACAGTGAAAGTAACAACAAAGTGTACTCAAATCAGTTAAATGATTTCAAGCAAACATATTTCAAATGAATCTTGTCGTTTTAAAACGGATTTGGCAAAGTTGTTAGCTGTCTTTGGAGCTGGATAGCTGGATAAAATCCACCGTTAATGTCGTTTTTATCAGTTTTGTAAATTTGTCAGCTTAGGAATAAGATATCGATAAATGTTATGTACCATTCAAAAGCTCTAAATCTCTTCTATATTCTAGTAAAGATGGATTTTTGATCCACTGAATATGCAAAAGAATTTACTTTATTGAAGATGGTTAGGTCAATTGTTGAGTCAACGACTTTGGATCGACTTTTCCACCGTTTTCAGAAAGTTTCACTTTACATTCTCCTATATTTTTATAAAAAAGCCCTATTCCCTGGAATTATTGTATTTTATCATAGTTATTAATACTTTATTTATTGGTAAAATTTCAAGAAGAATACTCAATTCAATCGGTGGGAAAGTCGATCCAAAGTCGGTCACTCAAAAATTGACCTAACCACCTTTGGTACAGTAAATTCTTTTGCATATTCAGTGGATCAAAAATCGATTTTTACTAGAATATAGAAGAGATTTGGTGCTTTTGAATGGTACATAACAGTCATCGATATCTTATTCTTAAACTGACAAATTTACAAAACTATAAACAAAACAAAACATCAGAGAATAGGACAACAACACTGGAGATCTTTTCTGGCGGTAATTCATATTTCAATTGAATCTTGTCGTTTTAAAACGGATTTGGCAAAGTTGTTAGCTGTCTTTGGAGCTGGATAGCTGGATAAAATCCACCGTTAATGTCGTTTTTATCAGTTTTGTAAATTTGTCAGCTTAGGAATAAGATATCGATAAATGTTATGTACCATTCAAAAGCTCTAAATCTCTTCTATATTCTAGTAAAAATGTAGTAAAACCAATAAATAAAGTATTAATAACTATAATAAAATACAATAATTCCAGGGAATAGGGCTTTTTTTATAAAATATAGGAGAATGTAAAGCGACAATCTGCTAGGAGTTGTAAGCGTCTAAAGTTTTAGGACTCTCAAAATGTGGTCATTTGGGTCTTAGCGGGCTCCTTGTGGATCAAATTCAGTGGCCGGGCGGTACGGTGTTCGTTTTCAGAGTGAGACCTCACAAGTTCTATCGGCATTTTGGCTTTAGCTTCTTTCAAGAAGTGTTGACTAGTGTTCTTTGGGTGCGCGTACAAAATATTTCTTGTTTTCACGCTTTTAATAAGTATTTTTTACACTCTTACAGCAATAATTCTCAAATAAAGAAAAAAAAGAAAACATGGTAACAAACATGGATGATAACCATCGATAAAGTGATCTCTGTGCGATATAAAGTTATGTTTCTTTCCATTTTATAAAGGCGTGACAACAAGAAATATGTTGTGCACAAAGAATATAAGTCAACACTTCTTGAAAGAAGCTAAATCCAAAATGGGGATGGAATTTGTGAGGTCTCACTCTGAAAACGAACACCGTACCGCTCGGCCACTGAATTTGATCTGCAAGGAGCCCGCTAAGACCAAAATGATCACATTTTCAGAGTCCTAAAACTTTCGACGCTTACAACTCCTAGCAGATTGTCATTTAGCAAAAACAGAATATAGATTTGGAATCAGCATAAAATTCTGCGTCAAATGCAATAGGTAGCATAGCATTTGACCAGCTCTATCAGTTGACCTTCCCTTGCTAATCCGTAACCTAGCTAGAACTGAAATTTTAAGATTTTTTTACCAATTTGGACACATTTTTAGATCAAGCTTGACTAGGTTTTGCCCAAATGAAATTCTGAGAAAAGAAATTATCGGATAGAAGGAATTAGACTCGTTTACTTAAACAAATGACAATTTTTACCCAATAAACTCAAAAAGGGGACGAGTACATGACGCTACTAAAAGGGGACAAGTACATGACGCTACTAACCTAGTTGTAGCTCAAATTTTGAAAATGTTTACCAACTCAGCTACAAATTTTATTGATCTAAACGCTTGACTATCTTTGCCTCAAAGAAAAACATTTTATTCGTCCAGTTATCGGGGCCTCGTATCAGTCTCTTCTTTCAGAAGGGTTGTGGGTGAGATGGCTCGGCGAGGATTGAATTACCGCCCGAAAAGATCTCCAGTGTTGTTGCTCTATTCTCTGATGTTCTTTATCCCCCTTTGAAAATTTGCTTTCATCGAAAATTTCACTATCTTTAGAATCCCATTTTTGTTCAGCCAAAAGCAAAAGCTTTTAAATTGGTGAAAGTGGGGAAATAAGAGCTTTTCTTGAAGAAGCCACAGTTTGGAAAATTGAAAATCTAAAAGAAAATGTTTTAGAACATGTAAACAAAGTTTTTGTTTTGAGAAGAAATTGTTAGTACATTGGGAAGAGTTTCAAGAACCGGAAGCAATGTGGGGGTGGAGGTGTGTAGGCTTAAAATTGGGTCTAGATTTACCTAGGTATCTCAAAATACCCAGACTTTTTTATCTAGCTGGCTGGTTCTTCAATAGCATAAAAACTAAGAATTTTAGAAACATGAGAGATTCAGATCTTGTGATACAAGTCTTGTGAACGTGAAATATTTGGTTGAGTAGTACTTTATAACATTTTTTTTGTTTTTTGTTTTATGGCTTTTTATATAGCCAGCATGGCCAGCAAACCATAGCTTTTTATAAATTTAATATGATAATCAGACACGCATTGCCTAGATTTGGACAAAGTTGATCCCGATCTAATGACTGGCCTTCAAGTAAGAAGCTTTTGTTTGCAACCAGTCTTTTCTGTGATCCAGATTCTTTGATCTTTTGTCTACCAGGTTTTTCTGCTACCCCGAAACATTTTCAGCAAAAAGTTGATAATGTGTAGTAGATAATTGAATAATGAATAAAAACATCTATATATATATCAAGTAGCTTTTCGAGAAACTTTGACAGCCGTAAGTATACATAGTAGTGGTGGTTGTCGTGGTAGTCATCCTAGCGATTCTACCAGTACACGCTCCCATATCAAAGCAGATTTGGTAGACGGATTTTCCTATTAGGTTGAGTACTAATTCTTGGTAAGACTTTTTGTTTTTTGTTTTATCAAAGAGCAAACCATAGCTTTTTAAATTTTTACTATGATAATCAGACAAGCATT